ACCGCTGCCTGTATCTCCCTGCTCCCTAGAATTCTATTTGGACATTTCACCGAGACCATTTTCTTTTTCCTTTTGAAAATTTCTGAGACTTGATCTTTTAGAGAAATTGACAGTTCATACAACAATTGCTAGGTTGACTTTAGTTAATGCAATAATTTAAAAGTTTGGTGAAAAAATAAATTGGATAAATTATAGCTGTGACATATTAATAAGTAGAATATAATGTCAGACTTCAGTTTTAAGGACTTAATCTTTTCAAGTTATTTTAATTTTTTAAATTCTTCATTTGCATAATCTAAACTTAAATTTTAGCGGCTCTAAATGCACTGTTTTAATTTCTCTGAGCACCACAATAGAAATGTTTAATTCAGATTTATTTGAAGCCAACATCCAAACTTCTCTCAGCCAATAACAGTGTTTTCACAATCTGCCAAGATGCTAATGATAGAAATCTCTGGTGAAACATTATTTCTGTATTTTAAGAAGTACCAAATCAGATCATTCTTTGCAAAGTTGAAAATACAGTTTCAAAAATGACCATTTTTAAAGCAATGACTTTCCAACAAAACCATAAACCAGAAATATGCTTGGTATAATATCCAACCAGAATTCTTGAACTTGGACTAAAAATAAATGTGAATTCTGGTTGAATTCCTTTTCTGCCACAGTTTGATGGAAGGAATTTCTCCTACTAGCATTGAAACAAAAGTGGTGGAATTCTAACCATCAATTAAATTAGGTAGCTGTTTGGGGAGGGTGCAGGGTAGTAAGCTGAGAGGGCCCTTGCATTCTGTTTGGAAAGAACATTTAGAGGAAATCAGAGTGTTCTGAAGTACTTCTTAGTTCTTTGCCTTTAGACAAAAAGCACTTTCTTGTACTTTAACATTTTTCCTAATCCATGAACATACTTTAACTTGAAATTCAGCTACTAATTCAGAAAAAAAGTAAAACAAGCTTCTTGAGCAATGACTATTGGTCATTGGAATGAATGCATCCATGTCACTTAGCGTTCTTGAGTCAATTCTACTTTGTGTGGACAGTGGATTAAAATGGAAATTAATGTAATACTATTTGTTTTAAAAATAGCCCTATTTGTTTTTCAGACAGTTTATTGAGCAGGGATGCTGGGTGAATCTCCTTAAGATGAGCAGCTTGTGTACCTGTTATCACAGCAGACAGCCATCATCGAATTCAGGTGCACTTAGGAGAGGATCACTTTTCTAAACAAGATTTGATCAGCAATAGACAAAACTTTAGAGATTTAAGCTTCAGATATCTAGAATATCAAATAATTAAAATATTTTGTTCTGTGGAAGCATTATGCTGAGTATTAATTACTGTCTTCTGATAGTTCAATAAGCTTGACATGGAAATGTTGGCTATATTCTAGAGGACTATATTTTCAAATATTTAAAGTTACTATGTTTATTTTCTCATTTTTAGACTGGAAGTGTAAGTTTTTAATGGTAAAAACAAAACCTCCTTGTACAAAGTTACACCAAAGTCATTCTGACATTATCTGTTTGTTCCCTTTTATTGTTTTCTGTAAACTGTATGCTACATATGTTAGAATTTTAGGAGCTTTCAAATAGAATAAGAGCTTAATATTCTACCATCCTAACCTACAAACTTGCTGCCCCCATTCCACCCTGTGCTCCTTCTTGACTTGTAGGGTAGAAATCCCATTTCTTTTTCCACCGAAATCTTAAATCTTCAGCCTTGTTGTGGCTCTTAGCCTTCCACAGCTCCACACCGTTAATTATCCATTCTCTCTTCTGTGCTTCGAACCTCTGTCTTTCTCCTGGCGCATTTCCGGAAGTATCTAAACACACGGAGATCCCTCTTTATAAAAATCCTCCCCTTGCCCATGGAACTTGAATGTCATTTGCTCAAAAAAGCCCCTGAACTTGTTGCTTTCATCTCCTAATCTCTCTTTTCTCCACCGGTTGCAGCCTGGCTCACACCAACCCCTGAAACCTCTGATCTTACCAAGATCACCTAAGACTCCCTTGTCACTAAATCCCAGGATCACAACTCCCCCTTGTTAAGGGGTGTCTCACTCGGAGGGCCTCTCCTTCCCTCTTGAAAAGTCCACTCCCCCTTTGGGTCCCCACTTTCTCCGAGTTCCTTTCATCACTCTTACCATTGTTCCTTAGCTCCTCTATGGGTTCTTCCTTCAATCCGTGTATGGTGGTGTTTTGTTCTCTTCTCTGCATCATCTCTCCCTGGGTGAAAACACTTAATTATTATCTCTACACCAATAATTCTCCGATTTCCTTCTGTCTTTCTTGTTATTCTAAGCTATGTTGAGACTTCATGGCTGTGCCACATGTACCTTAAAATCAAGATGGTCAAAAAGAAACTCCTTGCCTATTCCTTATTTAAAGCACAGTTATCAATTTGCAGCTGTAGCTCCCCAAATCCAGTCACTGCCTTCTGTACCTTCCCCGCCCCAGAGCAGGTCACACAGCCTCCCACCTAGGTGGTCTCAGTAGCCAGTTTGGCTTTCTCTTTAACTACTGTCTTGATTTTTCCTCACCCCTTCCCTAGAATACAATCAGAAGGATAGTAGTATATCTCACTTAAAGTTCTTCATTGACTGACTCCCCACGGCCCTTACCGCTTCTTGTTCCTCTTCTTGTTCCTTTGCACTTGGCATCCCCTATCACTCCCTCCCAGCTTCCCCTTTACACATTGAGATGGCCCAGTCCAGCTCAGCCCTTAGGTCTCAGATGAGGCATAGCTTTATCCAAAAAAACAAAAAAAACAAAACAAAAACCAAAAACCCTGACCACCGCAGTGCGTTAGAAGCCCCTTCTGTGGTTCCTCCTTCTTCCCTGTGTCCAAGCATTTGCTTTAGCTTAGGGCTGCTGTGTGTGCCACCCGCTCTCATGTAGGCACCAGGAGGGAGGAGTGATTGTTTCAACAACCAGCCTCGTGTTCTGAAGTGTTTGTGGAACTAATAAAGTAGTGGAAGTAATTTTAAGAAATTTGTATTTTTAACAAGAAATAACCCACTAATATTAACGTCTTAAGGCAAAGGTTTTAGGAGACTTCTTTGACTCAGGAAACTGTTAAAAACCTTCCTTTGTATGAGAAAATATTCCCAGTGCTGCTTCTTTAGGTGAGTAATTCTACTATAATCCCATGAGGGAAAAAAGAGTTTTAAACACCCATAGAAAGTACTATTGACAAACATGAAAAATGATGTAAGAATTATATAGAATAAAATATATTTTAAAAAAGAAAGCAAGTACTAGTGAGCTCTATCTTGCTAATCCTGGACTTTCACTCAATGTAGGATGCTCCTCATTCGTTGGGGAGAAATAATGTTATAGGAACCGTGGATTGCGTGTGTGTCTGGGAAGAAAAGATTTTTGCTGTCTTATACTCTTTCACTTAGAGCATATATTACATAATCTGCGAATATATGTAAAGGGCAGGAGTACTGCAGCCTAACATCTGAGTACTTACAGAAAAATTATCTAGACAAATTCAAGTTATTCCATCAAGAAATCTTGGAAAGAAGAGCGGTTATCAGGAGACCTACCAGTAATGGCAGGAAGTAGCAGTTTAAATGGTTGAGGCTGGGAGTAGAGCTGGGCAGAACAGGCCCTCCTGGTATTCTCTTGGCCTTCAGACACAGAGACTGCTCAACATAGTTTCAATGAGCAGGAGACCTGTTGAAACCATGAAGGGGGATGTTGTACACTCAACATCAGCAAAGACAACAGGCCTTGGGGAAGAAAAATGACCTTTGCTGCTCTCCAGAGGGCTGCTGTCTGGGTGCCAGCCTATCGGTTTCCCCACGGTGTCCAGCTGGCCCTCAGTCCATGCAGTTTCACCTGAGCACTGAATCATCTGACCAATTCATTCATGTTATTCGGATTTTCAAGAAAATCAAATGAACCTACTAGCATTTGCATATTTAACCCTAAGTTTGGGGCTTGTCTTTGGTACAGTTACCTGTGACTTGGGGGTGGGAGGACCTCGCTGTGGGCAAAACACATTCTCTCCAAAGGTGCTGTGGGCAGGTGGACAGTAACTGGACTTTCCGGCCAGGTGACAGGAAGGCCCAGAGCCATGAGTAAAGGCTCTAGAGTCGCACCTGCCAAGTTCATCCCTTGTTCCAGCTGTTCACTGTGATACCGATTAACCTTTCTGTGCCTCACTTTCTTCATCTATACTGTGAGAGTCACAGTAGTCCTGTTCATATGGGAATATTGTGAAGATTCCTGAAAGAACACATTAAAGGGAACAGAACCCAGAGCATGGAAGCACTCACCAAATGTCAGCCATTTTTATTAGTAACACTTGTAGCGTCGTGATGGTGTGAAATTACTTTGCAAAGGGTGTCTCCTGACATTCGAGATGGCACATAGAGAGGGTGACTAGTCCTAGTAGAGCACATTTCTTTCCGTAACTGCTTGGGGAGAGGGAACAGGTGGTACCCTCTGGCATTCAGAGTGATTTATTAGCCAGGGATTGCTAAATACCTAATGGGAATGGATGTCTGCCTGGTGCCATCAAGATCTTTGACCGTGAAAGTGGGTGCTGACTGGGCAGAAACTCTTGTTTACCTTGGTGCCGGGGACTCTGCTTTTCTTTCTTTTTAAACTTCTTTACTTCTTGTCTTTCCCAGCCCTAAAAACAGGACACTTAATTTTTTTTTTATCATTCTGCATATGTATGAGATAGCTAGGTATGTCCTTGTCTTTTGGCTTTTACAACTACTAATAAACTGAATGGATTCACTTGTTTTGAAGCACCAGTGTCCTTACAAACTTTCAGAATTCTGTTAGCTGTTTGTTGGAATCCCTTACGAAAGTTGCTTGTCTCTGCCTGGATTCTGTATCAGAAATTTGGGAATATTACATTTATAGTCTAATGCTTTGATGGTACTGATTTCATATAAAAGGGGGAAAATATTATTATTGCTACAATGATTGTGACATTGTAGTGGCCTCAATTATGTCTTTAATTTTTACTTATTTCTACAGTTGCATTGTCACCTGTCTGGAGAAAAGTTGGAAGGAAGATACTGTTTAGAAGTACTGATTTGGAAAAAAAGGTAAGTTTTGGACCAAATATATATGAAAAATATTTTTGCTTTCCAGAAAAATTTAAGATTTTAGATTTGTATGAAGATGTAATTTTTGTTTTATTTTGTTGTTTTTACCTCATCAAGGCTAAATAGTTTCCATTTCTATTTTCTTATTATTCTACATTATACTTTTGATGCATTTATTTATTTATTTATTTAAAGATTTATTTAAATATTTATTTATTTATTTATTTATACATGCACTGGGTACAGTCAGAAGCGCGGGAGGGTGAAAGAATTCACCAGAGCCAGAGCGGGGAGCAGAGCAGGCAGAAGGATCGAAGTACACTGCTGAGGGGAGCAGCGGGCGGCAGGAGAGGTCTGCGCGCCATGTGGGACCCTCCTCCAGTGGCCGGGGAGCAGCTGGGGATCGAACCGGCGCTGCAGAGGCTGCGGGCAGCTTCGCAACCCAGCACTCAACCGCTGCGCCACCGGGGAGGCCCCTTGATGTATTTTTTTTTAGAAATTGATTTTTCAAAATTAAACAAAAAGTCTGAAATTCTCTGGTTTTATGTTTATGTCTTTTTTTCCTTTTACTAAAGTATTGAACCTGTGATATATTTATTTTGAAGTTGTAAAATGTTACTGATGTTGAGTTTCAAGACTGCAAAACCAAAAGATCTCATTCAGAGAGAAAAATACACTGGGATAAATATCCCAGGTCTGTATGGCTTAGTGCCTTTTCCCCATCTGTCCGAAAACAGAAAATATGATAGCTCACAATGAAACCAGCAACTCAGCCAAAGAAGGAAAATTTGGTTATAATTGGAAGGAGCTAATTTATTGAGGATTTGTTGAAAATTTTGCCCACCAGCTTGCCACAGCTACTTTCTCCTGATAATACTTATTTTCAGGGCCTTTGATACTGATATACAGTATTGATTTTGCAATTTCAACCTTTACTTAGGGGAGGAGGGTAAAGATTCATTTCTATGTGGCTAAATGTAGGTACATTGAAAGGTTGAAGCAAAGTGAAAAATCCAGGGTCGACTTTTGACTGTAATGAATAGATTTGGAAAGATTTCTGTCGTCTGTTGAAAGGAAGTCAGCTGTATGATGGTGTCATATTCACTAGACCTAAAATTCTACACTGTCGAGCATATAGCCTGGATTGAGGAAATTTGAGAAAGAGGTCCATGTTGCTGAGGAAGGGATTTCACTTTTTAGCAAGAATTGATAGGGCCCCAACAAGGTAACTTGAAATTATTATGCTTAGGGTTGTGTGTGGGTGGTGACTGAGGAAGATCTGATTGTATCAGCAGCTTGTTGGCTCATTCCAAGACTTTTCTGCAGCAGAGCATATAACAGATCCCTCTCAGGCCTCCCTTGGCTGACTACATTTTCAGATCTAAACTAATCTTGTGTCTAGTTTTCCACTTCAATAGAAGCCACACTCTTAGCAATTAGTAAAATACTTGTTTAGTGAGGAAGGATACTGATCTGTTTCTGGTATCAACTGGTATCACCAGAATCATTGGTGACCTCAAGGGAATGTTGGTTGGTGCCTTTATATTTATTCTAAGGTGAAGACAGGAGTATGAATGTTGCATGGGCCCTTTCCAAAGTCTGAACCATTGTCTGTTGCTACACATATGTAGGTTTTGTATTAAATCTCAGTCTTTGGTCACAGTAGCAACACTGACAATAGGTATCATGGTATGGATCCATCATCTGCTCATGGGAAAATAAAGTCTGCCCTCCAGACCAATGAAACCAACTTCAGAATCCCTCCCTGCATATTGTTCTAGTCATAGATATTTGTTGGTGCGACAACACACCAGAGCTCAGGCATATTAGATGCAGACCTGAGTTAAAGAATAGTGTGAATGGATTGTTTTTTAACAATCAAACAACCTTGTAGAAATGAGAATATGGTGACCATTTCTCATAAAGAGGATTTCTTTTAAAAATATTTTAAAGGAAAAATTATAAAACCTTAATAACATATAAACATTAAATTATATCACTCATATTAGACACAAATATCCAACTTGTTTCTCCTGTTGCCACTCTATTTCATATCAGTTTGTCTCCACAAAAATACATTTCACAAAAGCGTGGGATTCTTTTTTCTTTATTGACTAAATACTGACAGATATACCTGCTAGGACTTATTGTTTGTTTAATAATCGTTCTTTAAATTGTCCCAGTATGTTTTTACTTCTCTCTGATGCCATTCTGTTTCCACAAAATTGGTTTTATATCATAGCTTTTGCAATCAGTGTTTTATTAGGTGTGCGTTGTTGAGACTATTTGCAGAGGACATTGCGTAACCTGTCTGTTCTGAGAAGTTTCTGACGTATGCTTTTTTGTTAAAGGTAAATGACTGCTGACAAATGGTAGTTTTGTCTTCTTTCCTTAGAGCAGCAAAGAAAAACTGAACATAAAATTCTTTCCATTTTTAGTAGGAAAGAAACAGTAGCAATCAGATTTTATCTGACAAAAGCCATATATTTCTGTAAACAATTCTGCTTCCTAAATAATCTAGAGTGAATTACATTGACCTTTATATAGACAAAAAGCTGGTCACTCTTGTATTCATGATGGGTGCAAGTCTCAAAAATGTTTTTGCTATTTTCAAAGAAGGTTTTTGTTGCTTGGCTTGTTTATTCCTGTTCATTTTTATACTGTTTCTCTTTTAATTTCACACTGTAACTGCAATACCAGAAAAAAAAAACAATTAAAAAATAAAAACTCACCCACATTCCTTTCACTTTCTAAAATCTCTTCTTAGTTTTCCTTGCTTCTACACAGCTCCTTTCCCTAAAAATATGCACTAATTGTAGTTTTATGGCTTTTATTCATAAAAATCGAGGTTGATTACTTATTCAAGTATTTTATTTAAATGACAAACAGGTATCTGTAAACAAATTGTTTCCTAAAGTGTAACACATCCCTTTTTCATTTCTCTTTTTTTGTTTTTGCGTAGAAGTACTGGGTTATAGGCCAGCGGTGCAGGAGGGTGAGAGGATGAACCAAAGAATCCCATTTCTACCTGATTTTAAGTGATTACTGAAATGGTCTTCATTTCTGAGCATTTTTAATGGACAATGATCCCTCAGTCTTCCTCTTTGCACATCTTTGCGTAAATGTTACAGGTCAACATTTAGTAAATATCCTCAATTCCCCTCTTCCCACCTCAGTTGGCCTTTATATAACTTCAGCTTTTTACTTGATTCTTTTTAAACAAAATACTGATCTTCTAGATTGTTTATATGAGAAAGAACTAGCTACTAGTTAGTTTGAACTTGATGCACACTTGATTTACAGACTTTGGAAACCAGAATATTGGCAAAATGGGAGATGCCATCTGCATTTGCAAATTTTTCAAAAAGTGCTTGTGAAATGCCATGCTTGGTGGCCTGGTGGTATGGAAGATAATGATGTAAACCCTGTCAAGGAACTTTTCACTTATTTCATTTTCTTGAGAATTTCTCTGTGTTCTTTGAATTAGCTGCTCTTAATATTGAGGTCTTGCATTTATCCTGATGTGTGAATAATGTTCAGTGAGTTGGCTTTATCTGCTAGATTTAGTATGAAACTGGATTAATCATATCCCAGGAATGTCTTTTTCTCATGAGCAACTAGTCACTTAGACTTAGTATAAAAATTTTATCTTACTTCATTTTTTACCTTGAAATATTTTTTAATAATGGTTTACCTTTACAGAGATTGGTGTAGAGAAATGCTCAAGGGTTTGTTTTTGGTTTTTTTCTTTTTTCAAATGGACAGCTCTTAGTTTTTCAGAGAAGATACCAAACTGATCATATGAGTTTAGGTTTTTGATAAGGAATGTAGTGAGACTGAAATTGATAGCATTGAACCTAGGTAGATCCTTGGAGGAGAAATGGCAAACATGAATTTAAATTTAAATTTCTACAAGTCAAATACATTTAACTTTATTGACTGATAAGTTGCATATACCATTATATTTCCCATTCCTCAATTATTTCCTACTCTGCTGAATTATATGTCTCTACACAAGACCATGAAAGGAATTAAATTTTTTTCATTTCTTTTGAACATAAATTACACTTGTTAATAGGAGATAAATTAGAAATTTTAAGAACAACTCATCATCATAGGCATGTATTAGTTTATTTAGAAATTTCAAGTTTATATAAATAAGCATGTGTGTCTTACTATAAATTTATACTTAATACATAGTTAGAAGATTCAAACATGTTTTGTAATGCTTTTTACAAAAGTTTCAAAGGGCTCCTCATTAAAATAAAGCAAGGAAATTAAAACAGACATGCATTATTTATTAAGCTGTGGAAAACATATTGATGGCATTTTTAACCTGCTTTTAGACAGTAGCAGAATTAAGTCTGATGGCTAGAGAGTACTATGCCAATTTGGACCTATTCTTACCACAATCTCAAGAATGTCATAAGACCTAAAAAATAGGAGTTGAATGTATGATTGAAAAAGAAAGAGAGAAAGGAAAAGATGAGGCAACTCACACCCCCTTGCTTATAGCAAGTACAAATGATCCATCTCCTGGAATATATTTCCATCAGCACATCTTTAAAAACAGTAGTAACCATAAGCCAGAGACAGACTGGGGTAAGCGGGGGAGGGTAGGAGGGGTTATGGTCAAAATAAGGGGGGTGGGAATTGTATGGGGACTAACCAAGATGAAAAAGCATACATTGTACAAAAATGAAAAATGAGGCCAAAAAATATATAAAATAAAATTTTTAAAAAATTAATTAAAAAAAAAAAACAGTAGCAACCTAAATGGCAAATCTTTTCCTCCCTCTGGGCCCCAATAAACCATTTGTTCAGACCCTGAATAAAAAGGTCCATATGAGTGAACTCCAAGAAATTCACAGCTTGAGGCCCTCTGGGCTACACCTCTAGTAACAAGTAAAACGATACAGGTGCCCTAACTGTGGAGAAGGTGGGCCGATCTTGAGGGCTAATGATTCCACACAAGCTTCTCACCTCCTCCCTTTTCTCCCTCAGGTTTCCCTCTTCAAGATGATTCCCTGCAGAGCAGCTCTGTCTTTTGCCCGATGTCTGATCCGGAGAAAAATTGTCACTCTGGACAGTCTAGAAGATACCAAATTATGCCGTTGCCTGTCCACCATGGACCTCATAGCCCTGGGGGTCGGAAGCACTCTTGGAGCTGGGGTGTACGTGCTTGCTGGGGAAGTTGCCAAAGCCGACTCTGGGCCCAGTATCGTGGTTTCCTTCCTCATCGCCGCCCTTGCTTCGGTGATGGCAGGCCTTTGCTATGCTGAATTTGGGGCCCGAGTCCCCAAGACTGGCTCTGCATATTTGTACACTTATGTTACCGTTGGAGAATTGTGGGCCTTCATCACTGGCTGGAATCTCATTTTATCTTATGTGATAGGTATGTTTTGAAAATCAGTCCAAGCAAATAGAGTATTAGATCTAGCTCTTCTGAGTCAGAGGCCTTAGGATCCCATTGTAGGTTTGCATTAAGTTAGCAACTGTCACCTATGTGTCTCATTTATCTTGTCCCTAAAATATCTCCTTTTAATGGCAAAAACCCAAGGATTCTGCTTCATCTCTGAATACACCTCTTACTGTATTTGAAGACCTGCTTTTTAAATTTGTAGTTTGATAATGCAACTAGAGTTACTTAATTCCGCAGTTAGGGGCTTGAGTTAGGGACTTATTATATGTAATTATGTAATTATCAGTTCTCTGAACTAACTCATGTTTATTTTAGACTAGAGTAGCAACTGCTATGATGTGAATTTTCCGCCAATGACCTTGTATTGTCTGACTGTTCTTTGTTTTGGAAAGGTACCTCAAGTGTTGCAAGAGCGTGGAGTGGTACCTTTGATGAACTTCTCAACAAACAGATTGGTCAGTTTTTTGGGACATACTTCAAAATGAATTATACTGGTCTTGCAGAATATCCTGACTTTTTCGCTGTGTGCCTTATATTGCTTCTAGCAGGTAAGAAACCCAGCTATACTTCTTCCTATGCTGAGCCAGACTAAACTTGCTGGGAAAATAGGTTACTGTTGAATTGGGGACCTAAGTTCCCAAGACTTGGCACAAATTTGTGCATCTGAGTTACTGTTGGAGAGCTGTGGGCCTGCCGCTGCCTAGAGTCCCACCTTATCATATATAATGAGTATATTTCCAAAATGAATCTAAATTGTGTGGAATGGTAGAAGTCACACTTCTGAATAAAAGGCTTCTTTACTCAGGATGAGAAATATTATTTTATAATACTGATTAGAAGTTTGCAGGAATGACAATGAAGTTTCAGTAAGGAAGCATATATAATTTTGGCCTTATTTCATCTTGTTAGCTATTAGTAAGGGTATTTTCAGGCATACTATTTCTTGAAGAGATTTTGTCTTTCTTATGCCTTTATATAGTGTGGGCACCTAGTTGAAAAGGAAGCATATCAAACTAAAACAGTGCTGAAAGAGTGCCAAAGACAATTCTTAGCAGTGCAAAGAGGAAAGACAGGTCACTGTGGATTCTCACTCAGGTGATAATGATTACAAGACCACTCAGGCTCAGGGAACAATATCAGTGAGTTTATTTTTAACAAACAGGAGATTAGAGAAGCTAAAGGTTTCCTTTATATCATTAAGTTAGTTGCCTGATTGTATAATATAACTGCTGGGATTATATAGGTAGAAGAATGAAATTCAACTTCCCTCATGTCTGGAAAATTTTGCTTATTTGATCATGGGTGGTTTGGACATGGGGATGAAAAAAGAAAATATGTGGCATAACACTTCCTCACAGTCATTTCTCCAGTAGTAAAACACTAAGCTGTCTTTGGTCTGTAATTCATATCTTGTATCACATAGATTAAAAATAGAAACATGGCAAATCTAATAATGAAAGCACTGGAAGGCTACTACAGTGAATGTTTTGGTTATAATAATAGGAAAATGTTTTGAAAACTAGAAACTAAAAGGAAAAATTTATATAGTAAAACCTTATATATAATCAATACTAAGATTGACAGTAAATGGAAAATTGGAAAAAATGTGCTATGCATGAACAGCAGAGAGCTTATAACATCACTAGCCTTTCAAATCTTATAAAGTAATTTGAATAAAATAACCAATAGGAAAAATAGGGTGAATATTTTAATAAAGGTCTTGTCTTAAAGTGCATACCCTTAACATACAGTATTACCTTATAGAAAAGTATTGTAAAGAAATAATTAGAATGTATACAAAGATAATTATAAAAGGATGATTATGTCGATGCTGCTTTTAGTTGTAAGAAACCGAGAGTGGCCTGATTTTCTATGAATAAAGTTTTAAAATAGAGTATCTCCATATCGTGGAAGAGTCTTTGTCTGCTAAGAATGAGGTTATGTATTTGTTGACATGGAAATGTGTGTATGTGTGTGTGTGTGCGTGCACACGTGTGCACAATTCTGGAGGGGAGGTCACAGCTGATCTCACTTATTTCATACTTATGTATCTCCAAATTACCTACATAGGAAATGGAATGATTTTATAATCAGAATGTTTTTATAATCAGAATGATTTTATAATCAGAATGATTTTATAATCAGAAAGCTATTAAAATGAGAATCAATTTAACAAACTACATTTTGGGCCTGACAGTAGAATTAATGTTGTGTACATATTCAGTAAATATGAGGCAGACATATGATTGAGCTATTACTTTCAAATTTTGCAGCCATTAACCTTGAAATGGCTTGTTGGAACAGTGTTCCATTAAAATTAAGTTACTTTACCTCTGCCTACTGATTGGCTATCATTGCCAGAGTTACTAAATTATTTCTTAGAAACTGGAATCTGACTGTGAGCTCAGTCTGCCTTCTGAGTTGACTGTATTTAGAAAATATTTCACATTTTGGTCACTGAGTTAGAACTCACAATAGAAAGGGATAAAATGAAAATTAAATACTGGAATGCTAGTGAAGTAATATCCTAAAGCCTATAACTGTGCAATGTCATTGCCTTTCCTAAAGCTTTAGGTAAAATTAAAATACCTTTTTTTTTTCCTTATAGGTCTCTTATCTTTTGGAGTAAAAGAGTCTGCTTGGGTGAATAAAATCTTTACAGCTATTAATATTCTGGTCCTTCTCTTTGTTATGGTTGCTGGATTTGTGAAAGGAAATGTGGCAAACTGGAAGATAAGTGAAGAGTTTCTCAAAAATATTTCAGCAAGTGCCTGGTAAAATACTTGGATTTTTTTCTGCTCTTATTTTGAGGTTGCTTGTTTTTTGTCTTGTGTTACATTTTCTTCTAGAACAATGTTTCTCAGGCTTCTAAAACCTTTCCGAGGGGCTGTTCTTCCCAAGCTCCCCAAGCACAAATGCACAGGCATGCTCAGCTGTGGGCAACTCTTAGCCATGCAACTGCTGGCTCCCAACTCAGGCTCTGTTCTAGGTTTAGGGAAATTGAAAGAAGAGCGTAACCATTGGCAGAATAGTTTTTTCTCCCAAACTTTTGCCATCTCTAAATAGCAGTGAGTATTTTTAAAACTGCATCCTTTAGTTCTTCCTTTGGAACCATTATTTGGTTTCATTGTATTCTTAAAGTCTTGTAGTAATTTTCAGGTCTTGCTCTATAGAGAATATTATTGGTTGCCTAAAGTAGAATTGTCCATGCATTTCATTTTAAACCTGATTGTCTCAAACATTAAATTAATAATAATTACATGCGAAAGATGTTATCCTAAGATTTCTTTAAGCATCATGTCCCTTTGTGTATATAAATAAGGTTACAAAAATATCTGTCACATGGAGTGAGGTAGAGCTATGTTTCCCTTTACAGATACTATTTGTAATCATTTTGATGAGGCAAAAAATTCATATTCTCTGGTGTCATCCATTTTTAAACATGTAGTGAGATATTAAACTTCAATAATATTAATCAGGCCTAGAGAATTTACTTCCCTTTTTCAAGTGTCTTCATGGTAAATATTTAGAATGTGTAGTCTGCCCAGCTCTGCATGAGAAGGGAAGATTCTCATTTTTGTGTCAGAACATGGCCCATAATTGGAGTCTCTACTGTCAGAGTCCTGACTGAGTCCAGTCAGGGTGGACCTGAGCCTCCTTCTTTTTTTTTTTTTTTCCTCCTGGAATTCTTTTTTTTTTTTAAATAATAAATTTTATTTTTATATTCCCCATACAAATGCAACCCCCCCATTCTGACCCCAATCCCTCCCCTCTCGCCCCCCACCCCCCAAAAAGTTTCTCTGGTTCATAGTTTTTTGTTGATTTTGATTTTCATTTTCTTATAGTTATTCATTTTCCTGGTCCCTTATTTAAGTTTTCTAGATTCCTGCTATGAGTGAGACCATCCGGTATTTTTCTTTTTCTTTTTGGCTTATTTCGCTGAGCATGATCCCTTCCAGCGCCATCCATGTTGCTGCAAATTGCATGTGTTTATCTTTTTTGAATGTTGAGTAATATTCCATGGTACATATGTACCACATCTTCTTGATCCAGTCATCTATTTTTGGGCATTTGGGCTGTTTCCAAAGCTTAGCTATTGTAAATAGTGCTGCTATAAACATAGGGGTGCAGGTGCTCTTTGGAATTGATGTTTCTGTGTTCTTTGGGTAAATACCTAGGAGTGGAATTGCTGGATCATATGGAAGCTCTATGTTTAGTAGGTCCAGAAATCTCCACACACTGAGCCTCCTTCTTATGCTATTGCTCAGCCTCCAATTGAGTGTTGGTGTCCAGAGAGGCTGCCGTTGTTGGGGACATCACCACAATTAGGGACAACATGAGAGCTGGGTTTACTTTTATTTTCACGTATGTCAGCTTCAAAGAGCTGATGAATACAAGTCTTCAGATGCGTTTGAGATAAATCACCAAAAGAAAGAGTTTTTATGAAAATGATTCCACCTCATGCTTGTTCTGTTCCTTAGGGAGCCGCCTTCTGAAAATGGAACCAGTATCTATGGAGCTGGTGGCTTTATGCCTTATGGTCTGGCAGGAACATTGGCTGGGGCTGCAACCTGTTTTTATGCTTTTGTGGGATTTGACTGCATTGCAACAACTGGTAAGAGCAGTCTTGGCTCAATGTGGAAGAAAAAGATATCCCTTGTACCACATGAGCACCATTGGGTAGCAACAGAGGATCAAGAAAAAGAGAATGGGATTTGGGATAATAAAGGCTGGTTCCAGACCCAGCTGTGACAATTGCTTTCTATGATAAAAAAGAAACTTGGTGAAACTTTCAGAGTCTTAGTTTCCATATTGGTAAAATTAGAGAATAGTACCCACCCCTCAGATGTTGGTTATATATGAGTATGTGTAGAAATAATACATATATCTATATATCTATATATTTATGTACATTTTAGACATATATATTTCTCTAAGATGTATAATATGAAAAATATTTTCAAGTTGTTAAATATTTAATAAATATTGGTCATAATTACTATCTTCAACCTTCTATCTGGAAGTACTATCACAATGAGTAACAAATGATGATCAAGCTCTTAAATGCAGCCTTTTTCACAGGACAAAATATACTGTGGTAATTCTTTTTTCTTTATCCTGTACAACAAACCTATATCATTTTCTATGTCCTTCTATTTACATTATTTTATGACTTTATAATTGACTGTGTTTTGGGTGCTTCAAATGCTAGCACTTATTAGAAGGACCTAAAGTATGCTATTTTTTATGAAACTAGAGTTTAATATAAATATGAGTGGATTGGATTCATCTATAAATGGAAGTTTATCTGAAGACTTCATATTTAAGGATATACAGAATGCCATGTAGTCATTTAATCTTTGTGGAGGAAGCATTTTTGCAATGAATTAAGATTGATATTCTATCCCTAAACACTTAATAGTGCTGGCATAGCATGTATTTTTATATCTGGGGTTGGATTTTTAGGTAACATTAAAGTACCCTTAAGAAGAGAGAAAAATTCTTATAGAATAGATAGGTCACTTTATGGAAACAGATGAGACAAAAGCAGAGTAGAATTACCATGGAGGAGAAGAAAAATTAATGTTTTACCTATTACTGTTTTATTAAACATGCAAACCTTCTGTTTATCTTTCCTTAGGTGAAGAAGTTCGGAATCCTCAGAAAGCTATTCCTATTGGAATTGTGACCTCTTTACTTGTTTGCTTTATGGCCTATTTTGGGGTCTCTGCTGCTTTGACACTTATGATGCCATACTACCTCCTGGATGAAAAAAGCCCCCTTCCAGTAGCATTTGAGTATGTTGGATGGGGCCCTGCCAAATATGTCGTTGCTGCAGGCTCCCTCTGTGCTTTGTCAACAAGGTATGTTGCATTGCTGCTGGGGCAGGGACTGTGTGGATTACTACCAAGTGTGGGCAGTTTCTAAAGAATTGTTTTTGCATGTTTTTAAAATAATCCTAATTAAGGAAGATATTATGCAAGCACACAGTCTCTGAAAGTTTGCCCAGAATTGCTATATAAAAATCTTAAGTGATAAAATCACTTAAGCATCAGTTTGTCAAGATAATGATGGTATATGCTTCCATAGAAATATATACAGTTTTGGTACACAAATACTACACAACTTCAGGATGCTTAAACCAGTGTTTCCTTGCTGCCTGTGCTGTGACTTGCAGTGTTGTGAACAATCCATGACCTTATGTGCAGGCTTGACATTTTCTATAGCCTTTTTTTTTTTAAAGATTAATTTATTTATTTTACACAAGAACCAGGGTACAGCCCAGATGCGTGGGAGGGTGAGAGGATTCACCAGTGCCAGGGAACAGAACAGGCAGACTGATGAAATACACTGCTGAGGGGAGCAGCAGATGAGACAGGAGAGGTCTGCCATGCCATGTGGGACCCTCGCTGGCTGGCCAGGATTGAACTGGCGCTGCAGAGGCTGCAGACAGCTTCACAGCACGGTGCTCAACCACCTGTGCCACCAGGGGCGACCTTCTATAGACTTTTAAAGTAATATCAGGTCTGTAGGAGTGGAAGCTGTATGCTATGGTATTGTTAAACATAATATACCTCTTTCTGTGAAACACTAACTTTTTCTCTAATCACAGGAGAGAGTGAAATTAATCTAAAAATAGAAATTACCATGTTAAAATTAATGGTGGAAAAACATATCTATATGAAAAAAGAAGGATAATTGAATTTCAAGTGTTCAGATTTTCGTAGTTTCTTGTTTTCTGGATTCTGAGTTACTCATATTTCAAATTAACATTTTTCATTCATAAAGTATTTCATTCTAGTTTTACACTGTGCGATAGAGTACAGCATTCTTACAAAGAGAAATTACTCTTTTTGCCTGATTGCTAATTTTTTTTTAAAGATTTATTTATTCATGCATACAAGAACCATGGTACAGGCCAAATGTGTGGGAGGGTGAGAGGATTCACCAGAGACAGAGTGGGGAACAGAACAGGCAGACTGACGAAATACGCTGCTGAGGGGAGCAGTGGGTGGCAGGAGAGGTCTGCGTGCCATGTTGGGCCCTCGCCGGCAGCCAGGGATCGAACCCGCGCTACAGAGGCTGCGGGCAGCTTCGCAGCCCAGCGCTCAATCTCTGCACCACTGGGGAGGCCCACTAATTTTTTAAATGAAAATAATTTTCCCAAAACTGGAAATTGGAAAAAGAACTTTAACTTGTCAGCCTAGCTTTTCCCCCCTCAAAACCCTTCTTATTTTTCTTCTCAAGACAATATTAAGGAACAGTTAGAAATTACCCCCATTGGATTTTCAGCTATCTGCTGGTGTTAAGGTTTATTCTAAATAATTTCAAATAGTTTAAAAAACCTGGATTGTGAAGATATTGTAACACTGTGACCTTAGAAGAAATGGACAAAGATTCATCTGTGACAAAGCTCAACTCAGCTTCATTAAAAAACAAAGAAGTATAATTTTTTTAAATAAAATATTTTACTTATTTTATCTTAAATTGTTATAGCTCACAACTGAGTCATGTGTGGAATGGTGCAGCCAGTAAATACACAAGTAATTCAAAACACCTGAAGTAAAAATTGTTTTCCTGAACTTTCCTGTTACTTACTTTTAATTACAACTCTTTCTGTCTACTAAATTTATCGAGTTGGTTGATTTTTTCCCTTTCTCTACCTTGATTATCTTATACTGAAAATTATTAAATTGATCAAAGATCAGACTATATGAGAAAAAAATGGTACATTAAATATAAAAATTATATATAATTATCGAGTAAATTGACTGTACTTTGAAATCATACAGTTAATCTCTACTTTAAGTTAATCTATGCCAGCTTGGGGGTTTTATTTTCTGAGTTATTGCCACTAAAATATCTTAATGATATATTTTATTTGGGATTTTGGGAAATGTCTTAATTACTTTTAATTAACTAATAATTGTGGGCATGCACAAACAGTTGTAATATTGCTTTTAGTCTGATAATTTTACTGGGTAGATATCTGTAACAGGATAATAAGTAGCCCAATGGTAAATATTGGCAAATATTTTAATACCCAATTTAAATTAAAAAAAATAATACAACTTCATAATCACAGCTATGACTCAGTTTTATACAATCATTTCATGTCAATTCTGGAATATAATTTTGCATGAATGTGTTTGCTATACTGCATGTGTTTGCTTTTTATTCAGTCTTCTTGGATCCATTTTTCCAATGCCTCGTGTAATCTATGCTATGGCGGAGGATGGGTTGCTTTTCAAATGTCTAGCTCAAATCAATTCCAAAACGAAGACACCAATAATTGCTACTTTATCATCGGGTGCAGTGGCAGGTGAGAGAGAACTGACTTCTATTAAGCAAAGGGGGATGGTTTTTCATCTAGAATTCTGGGGAAAGAATGACAAGTTTGTTGCTTTCTGATTTGACTTACATAAAGGCTAGTCACTTTTTTTGTGAATGTTTCCTATTTTGAAATATTTTGGCATAGGTTCTGTACATGGTGTGTCCAGTGTTTACCTGTATATACCTGTCTAGATAGTACTTGTAATAACTCACTTGTGAATTATGAATTTTTCTGTTCTAGTCTTCTGGGCTCTATGTTTCCTTTACCCCGAATTCTGTTTGCCATGGCCCGGGATGGCTTACTGTTTAGATTTCTTGCCAGAGTGAGTAAGAGGCAGTCACCAGTTGCTGCCACATTGACTGCAGGGGTCATTTCTGGTAAGCTTTATACACAAAGGTTTTTTCAACAATGGACTTGAACATTTTTATGCGCATGCATGGACTTACAAAGAGGGTCTGCTTGCTGTGCATGTAAGTTAAGAACAAAATCACTGATAAATTAGGGTATAAGCATTGGGATTACATCTGAAAATTGTGGTGGTGGTGGTCTACTGAAATTCATTCTTAACTGACCCTTTGGGGTATTTTTATTATTTTTAACCCTTTGAGCTTCTAACAAAGGTGCAAATGGTTGTAATTGTTCTTCACATATAATAGGTATTTAATGCTTTTCAGATGGATGAACTAGCTCATTGCATTATTGATGCATAAACTGTTAATTAAAGAGTAATTTTTAAAATATTAATTAAAAGTGATTTATCGTCTTCTTTTTTGTCTAGGATTTAAGTTGGATAGTGCTAAAACTATAGGACTTTTGAAAAGCTGAAGTTTGTCCATTCTCAATTAAGTATGAGAAATGTCAAAAGTACTTTATATTTGGCCATTGTAATCACTGATCTCAGGAGGGTGGATATCCCCATCATGGTGGGCCATGATGGTTTCCAAGAGCTGCTAACACCAAGTCTTCAGAAACCCCATTTCTGATAGATGTTTTCTTTTCAATGATTTTGGTACTTAAGTCACTTCAGGAACTCCAGATGCCTGCCTTTTGGCATGCTATGATTTCCATGTAAAATGTGTTTGGCCAGATACTTATTCCATGCAGCAAATTTCAGAGAGATTCTGCAGATAGAATTGCCTCAAATAAGGTCCTGTTATGGGAAACAAGAGACTCTAGGAAGCTTTACAGATAAAATGATAAATGATATTGGTAGCAGAAATTCAAACCAAAATGGTAATTTTATTGAGGCCCTGAATCACTGGGATATTAGGTTGGAGAATGCTAATGTGCTATTATGTATAATTTGGGATTTTTTCCGAAGTCAGGAAGCATTTGTCTAAAGGTTACATTGGATGGTCTATTTTTATCATTAAACAGTGTATTAGATTAAAGATATTTTTAAAATCTTGACAAGGGATAGTGTATCTTATTTACCCCATAAAAATATTTTCCAGCAAAATCTTGCCTAGTAGTGTTCTACATTGTAGTCATAATTTTAAAAAAATGTATGCTTTCTTGCCTGGTGATGTGAGTTTAGGTGGAACTCCGTTTCTGCCTAGTAGTTACAACCTTGCTACGTAATTTTGTCAGTGAATGAGGCTTATAGTCCTTTAGGTCAAGTCACATGAAATTGCTGGGGTTTTAGTCAACAGTCAAATATTGGCCAATTTATTTAGCTGAACCTAAATAATTCCCTGTCTACTTAAATGAAAGATAAATTAAGCTCAGTAGCAAAAACACCATATAAGTTGGTAGCAAAAATTCAAACCAAAGTGATAATTTTGTTGAGACTCAGACTTTCATTGGGGTGCTACTGTGATAGGGACAACTTTGTCAGAAATTCAAGTTAATGTTACCAATTTTTAATGTTTTAATGAATTAGGAAATTGCTAAGTATAAGTTGTCTCTTCCACTACAGGAAGTATGTTTTGTCTCTTAACATTTTTGGGATTTGACTGCAGGATCATAGATTCATCTCTTAAATCTAATCAATCTTCTAAGAACTTATAGTTTTAATCAGAGTAGAATTTAGCCTCTATCAGAAATTATTTTAGTTTATATATGTCACAATGCTGATGAAAATTCAAATAATATGAAACATCTATAACAAAAGTTCTTTGAATTTTAAAATTCAAAATTTTTAAATTTTTAGAAAAGAGCTAGCCCAGTGCTTCTTAGCAATGTTTTTCCTTGGAAAATATCAAAGGAGACTTTTTTATGTAATATTTTTACTCTCTTGGTCAGGCTAGTATTTTATGTAATCAAAGTAGTTGTGTTTTGTACTATGGGTTTTGGAAGGTTTATTAGGCATTTGTATAACCTAAAATATGTCTTATTAACTGTCTTATTGTGAGAAATATATTTCCTATACCTTATTTGACTTCTCATTGGCACTAGTCAATAAACCAAGCAAAAAAAAATTGCCAGCCATTCGTCTCTCACTTGAAGTTGTCAGCTGAGGGAGTTTCTTCATAGCTCTGTTCTTGACTGTTCTTGTCTCTCCCCTCCAGCTGTGATGGCCTTTCTTTTTGACCTTAAGGCTCTCGTGGACATGATGTCCATTGGCACACTGCTGGCCTACTCTCTGGTTGCAGCCTGTGTTCTCATTCTCAGGTGAGTTGTCCTTGTTACCAGATGATTCTGAAGGGTGTCATGTGGACAAAGAACAGGGCTCACCTTCCTTACTTTCAAGGAGCTTGCAGTCTCACTGAGGCAGGAATGGGGCTGTGAAAAGTCAGCAATGTAGACCATGAAGAGCATACTTGATCCCTAGCACAGACTCAAATACACTTGATGATTAGGGACAGGTTGGCCTAGTCTCAGTCTCAGAACAGCAAGTTCTAATAATGTCTAACGACACTTAAAAATACTGTACTTAGAAAAGAAATAAAAATACTACAGTTTTTAATCCAAATAATTCATTTGCTGAGATTTTATGCTAACAATTTAATCAGAGAGGCACATACAGACATATGTAAAGGATGTTCATGGAAAAAGCCACTTAAATTAGTGGAAAACTTGAACTAGCCTGAATATCAAATAGGAGAATGGTTAAAATACTTGAGGGAACATTTATTTGGTAACCTCCTAGACAGCGAATAAAATGATTTTTAATTATATGGAGAAATATACCCGCTTCAGGAGGCAAAACTCTATGTAGCATCTGAATTTATATAAATAACAACAGATTTACATGAAAAAGAAATCCATTTTTTCATTTATATATACAGATATTCTTTTATGCCCAGCTGAAATTATACCAAAATGCTAACTGAGTAATACTGGGTAATAGTATTATGGGTGGTTTTGATTTTCTTTTGTATGCTTTTGTGTATATTTTCTTGAGCCTATTTCTCTTTATATGGAAGAAAATATTACTTTTAAATATAAATAATGGTGGCTTAGAGAAAAAGAGACCATACTGGGGAGACTGGACTGATACTGGAAGGTAAAGCAGGCTTATAGCTTGATGCAGGCTGGAGAGGAAAAGGATAAAATCAGAAAGGGAATGGCGTGCATGGGCTTGGGAGGTGGCAACAGGGCTGGCCTGAGCTAGTCTGGGTTAAACTAGAGAACTCAGGAAAGTGGGAGAAATAAAATCAGGGAGGAAGATTGTAATGAGGCCTTGAATGCCCACCAAAAAGACTATTGTTCTGGAGCTGATATTTAACTGGTTTCTATACTATTTTTGTGCATCACTTTTCCAATGGATATGGTTACTTTCAGAATGATTATCCTATAATCACAATTGCCTCACTTTAAAATGTAGCTCTCTTCTGCTCCTCATATATGACTAATTAAGTGCCTATCAGAATATTCAGAGTTGTTGCAGACATTTTGTTGAACAGGTTTGTGGACTGACTTGGCCTGCTCTGGGGCTGGTGTCAGGAGACATGTTGATTTACTGCATAATTGTGACTTGTAAGATGCCCACTTAGAGGTTAGGTGCTTATGTCATGCACCAAATATCTATTTAAGAATAACACAGACATTTATTTGGCCATAGGTACCAGCCTGGCTTATCTTATGAGCAGCCCAAGTTTTCTTCTGAGAAAGAAGCTCTGGGATCATGTGCCGGTGCAGCCTCAAAAAGCGAGTCCCAGGTCACAATGCTGCAAGGACAGGGCTTCAGCCTGTGGGCCCTCTTTAGCCCCTCCACTCTACCTACAAAACAGTCAGCTTCTCTCGTGAGCTTTCTGGTAGGATTCCTTGGTAAGTCCTCACTGCGTCCATTGGAAAGAGCCAGCAGATGTGTGCAGGTCTGCTGTGAAAAAAGCACTAAAGAGGCCGCCTATCGCCCGAGACTATGTTAACAACTAGCTCAAGTCCTGAAATTCCACTCAACAGTCACTAGTCAATGGGATCATCTTTAAATTAGCAGGATAAATTGATCGTGTCTTGGTAGTTAGAGATGAAAGGAAGACTTCCCTAAGGTGAGATGGTACAGGCACAGAGCTGGTACATTTCATTAATTTAGGGTGCTTCCTGCATGAAGCTTCAGATCAAGTCCACCAGCTGTGATGGGACTGGGAAGCAATATAGAAAATCCTTATTTGCTCACCCACAGTTAGGTGATCATTCAACAATTATTAAGCAACATCTTTGTGCCAGGAGCTCTACTGAGCACTTAGGAGAACAAGAGAGATGGCTTTGCTGCCTGTGGGCTTTTCAGAACAGGATTATTGGTGACAAGTTAAGGGAAGAGGTTTCTCTGAGAGAAAGGACACCTGATACAGATTTGACAGTCAGAGAAAGGGTGGGTGACATCACGCTCCAAAATAGAAATGATGCAGCTCGTATATTATGTATTTACATGAACAATCAGTATTTACAAGAGATAAAAATGGGTAGACTCACTCCCTCCGTTTTGAAAAGGGGAGATAGTCACCCCTGACAGAGTCCCCATCCACTCTTGTGACCTAACCTGAGACTGTAGCAGATGAGGACCTGCCTGGCACATGGGCAGAAAGTGTGACGGTCATGTCAGGAGGGCTGACTTCTATGCAGGAGGCAGTCCTGATTGAGCAAGCACTGTTTTTTCGGTCAGCGAGAGCTGCCATTTCTTCCCAGGATGAAAATGAATAATCCCTGTATTTAGCAAAGTTGAAATGTAATTTTATGTCTTAACCGAATAGACATGTTTGAGCCGAGGATCCTCAGTGAAGCGTGTGTACTGATTCTCTTTTACATGCTCATTATCTTTGCAGCATTTCTTGTCCTGGGCCTGAGTATTTTGACCACTTACGGGGTGCGTGCGATTGCCAAACTGGAGGCCTGGAGCCTTGCTCTTCTCGTGCTGTTTCTTGTTCTCTGCATTGGTATTGTTCTCATCATTTGGAGACAACCCCAGAACCAGCAAAAAGTAGCTTTTATGGTATGTGTCATAAGGATGAGTCACCCTAAACATTAGGTATATTTTCTCATGAATGTTATGTGTGTGAGTTGTTTCTTTAAAAAAAGAAAGGAATAAAATACTTGTGATCAAGTTAACCATGCACACAGTGCCACAATCTGAAATGTTCCTTTTTGTCATAAGCATTTTCCCTGCATTGGCTGTCTCACTCTCCTTTTCAAAAGCTTGAATTATGCTCCTGTCAAAGCATTATATAATAGCAAGTCAGTTTCTTGTCAAATAATTTATAGTATCTTAAGGATAACTAGAATATTTTATTTGTAGAAATGCAAGATGATTATTTCCACCAAAAGCCCTTCTACTGCAAATGAAATCATCCTGACCCATTCAAACAAAAAACAGGTTTCAGCTTAAAGAGGGTTTCCAGAGGATCCCTGGGACCATGTGTGTCCAGAGTTCTAGAGGCATGCCCTTGCTGGTGCCCCTCAGCTACACCAGTGAGCCCTAAGCTAAACTAAGCCCAAGGGTTAATTGTATCTTGCTGATGATGTGATGTTAGTGGGCTGGATAAATAGTATAAATTTTGATGCTCCTTTTCCTATCATCTAGAGGATTTTATTTGACCTTTTTATAAGAATATAAATTTACTGACACTGTGTGAAAATGTCAAATTCATTGTCACCATTTGGAGATAATTTGTGGAATATGCTTTCAAAATAGAAGTTTACTTAAGAAAATTTTCCCCCACCTAGGTTCCATTCTTACCATTTTTGCCAGCCTTCAGCATCCTGGTAAACATTTATTTGATGGTCCAGTTGAGTGCAGACACTTGGATCAGATTCAGCATTTGGATGGCGCTTGGTGAGTCTTTTAATGTTCTGGTTTTCTGACATGTGGCTCCCTTTTCCTACTTTGTACACTGTGGTAAGAGAAGTGCAGTCTCTCCCCCTTCTTCGTAGTAAAGGCTTTTTTCAGTTTTTTCCTTTCCCAGTTCTTTGAACACCTGAGTACTTTTTTTCCAGGTGTCTTCAGGTACGTTTTCTTATTTGGTTTTTCCACTAACCCTGTGAAGTCCTGTGGACTCTGTTTTCTCCAACTTTTCATGGGTGAAAAAAATGAAACGTCAAAGAGTCAAAGGAATCTAACTTGTAAATGGCAGCCTGAAACCATTTCCTGATTTTCCAGTCATTTTCTGATTCCAAAGCGAGCTATTTCTGAGGTACCTTGAATTTCTGGAGACAATATTGAATGAGTTAATAGTAAGGAATTTCTTTTCTGATATCTGAATTTCTTCACAGTCTTGGGATAGAGCTTACCATTAAATAGCATTAAGCAAGCTTACTGTTTTCTGTATGCTGTGTTGCTTTTCATTGTAATGCCTTCAGTTTCCCATGTGAAAATTGAGGTAGAAATGAAGAGTTGATTAAATTAAATTATAGTCAAAGTAAACTAAAACACTTAAAAAAGTAAAGATAAAGCTAAAACGCTGAGCACCAACTGCCTTGGAAAATGTAAGATGAAATGTCTAGGATGAAGCAGTGAAGGTTGAGTTAAATCTATTGGTTTTGTTGGCCTGAAGAGTTTAAGAATTTATGCTTTTTAATAGTCCTTGCAGTGGCTTAATAAGAATGAGTCTAACTTACTTGTGTATAAGTAAGCATTTACTTTGACTATAAATTAATTTCAGTTCCAAGCTGCAAACCACTTGAGTTGATGGGAGATTTAACCTCGGTTTTGCCTGCCGCCATCCACATTAGAATCTTTCCCATATTTCAGGGGAAGGAATCTTTCCCATAAAGTGGGGGAATTGATGTGGGGGGGAGGGTATGCCTTGGGTCAAAGGTTACTAGTCTATACAGGTAGGTTAGGTTGCTCCCTCTTGCTCTGTCACTGTGGCTACTTCCTGCCTGTGGCTCTGTTCCTTCAAGGCCAGGGTCCTGGTAAGAATCACCTGCTACTCCACCATGCCCTCGGTCTTTTTTCTGGGGTCCTGCCACCTCCCAGGTGCTGTCAAGGAGCTGAGTCAAATCCTCAGGGTACAAGGACAGTAGAACTCACTTCCCTACTCTGAAATCAAGAACTTTCTTTCCAGTCAGGTGGAGAGATTCTCTACATTCCTGCCTTTCCTCAAATCCCTGCTTCTTTCCTCAGACATTAGCTCACTGTGGTTTCAGTTTTTGTTCTTAGTAAAAGTTTGACCGGCAAAGCCAGACCTCTGTGTTTGAATCCCCCCTATCATATATTAGCCATATGGCCTAGGCCAAGTGACCTCCCTGTTTTTCTGCCTCAGTTTCTTGATAAGATGGCAGTGATAATAGTACCTATCTGAGGATAGGAAGGGTGAATCTTCAATTCTGAGGACATGAGAGAAAATAAAATTGTTCCTAAAAATTGGACATGCCAAAACTCTAATTGGTAGTTTACTTTGCATTGCTTAAAATGGGAAAATTATAATTCATTTCACATCAGCCCAAAGCTTGCAACCAGTTTTCTGAAATAGAACTAAAAGAATAAAATGTCTTTATATAAGCTATAAACTCTCTCATGAGGGTACTTAAAATACTTCCTTCTAGAGAAAGATAAGTACTGGATGTTGTCACACATATGTGGACTATAGAGAAACCAAACAAAGGATCAAACAAAATCAAACTATAAAATCAATATTTGTAAAGTAACTGTAGATCTGAGGCATCCAGGAAAGGAAGGAAAAACTTAGGGAGAGGGGGAGGCATGAGACCAGAATACAAGGGATCTGGTGGAGAACTAAATGGAGAAATACTGTGTTGTCAAAATAATCATAATGATGCTAAACAATGGTGCTTCATAAGTAAATAAATAACTCCCCACAAGCAAAATAAAATAAAATATGTCCTTCTATCCCCAAGCAGTTGACGTGGCCGTAAATAAACAGCTCCTCTGTACACAGTTATTTTGCCTCTCCTGGTGACAGTAATGTGCGTAAATGACACCCATGTCCCCGTTGTTAACCCAGGACAGGCCTTCCAAAATATCTGACCCTGATTTAGATAATCCACCTCTGTAGTTGGGTTGTGATTTGAGACTATAGCCCACATACCCTTTTGTTTAAAGGGCAAACAAACCCTTTTGTTTAAAGTGTAGTGTTGTGTTTTGAGAAGGTAAATATTTTTTCTACATCAATATTGTCTGAAAAATACTTATTGAGAGAAGCATGCAGCCTATAAAGGTTGAGTGTGAATAGCGAGGAAGTTCATTCTGCTGGGGAGACATCTCTCACGGAGACCCTCTGTGGAGTCGCCTGTATTTGCATGTCATTCTTCTAAAACCGCACAGAAAGAGAAGAGGGAGGAAGCCCTGTGAAGTTCTATATTACATTTTCCATATTCGGTCATCTTCTGATTCACCTAAAACATTGACTTCTTTTTTCTGCCAAAGGTTTCCTGATTTACTTTACTTACGGCATTAGACACAGCCTGGAGGGCAATCCAAGAGATGAAGACGACGATGAAGATACTTACGCGGACAACATCAATACAGCCACAGAGGAAAAATCTGCCATTCCAGCAGATGACCTTCACCCAAGAAACCTCAGTTTACCATTCATATTCCACGAAAAGACAAGCGAGTGCTAGTGCTTACTGGCCCAGTTGTTCATGAGCACATCCTCCACGGAGCAACCATGACAGGGTGTCGTCATCACGGCTTTCGTGGGTCCGCTGCAGACAGAGTTCACCCTAATTTATACTTCTTCACCTGGACAGCACTGCCTCTGATGGTGAATTATGTGCCTGGAGAAACCTCCTGAGCTCTCTTCTCAGTGAGGGTTATCTCCAAATGAGAGTGTATGTGTATGTGTGTGTGTATGTGTTGGGGAATGTGAATGTTAGAAGTTGTTGGTCGTTTACTCTCATTGCATTACATTTTCCTGGTGTTGTCATTAATTGGTGGCATCTACTGCACAAACTGAAATGGAGGTAATCACTGAAGGGAGAAGTGTTCTGTATGTGCCTGATGCAGCTGGGGATTTAAATACCTGTTGCTTTCCCTTATTAGGGTTCATTAATGTCCATTTAGGGCATATTCAAAATGTAAGTACCCATCATGGTATCATTCACTGGTCAGGAGTAAGAGGAGTGAGTTTAGTACAGATTTATTTTTTCTATGAGGTGTGACAGTTTGCTGAAACTTTAACCAATCAATGTGTTTGTGGCTGTGGTGCCATGCAGGGCATGGAAGTGGAGTGGTATTCTGCATCACCAGGTACCTGTCCTCCTGGAGAGCGGTGGTCCTTCACCTGCTGTGAATGCTGTACACCCTCAGCTCAATCCAAGGCTTGAGAGAGGTGGTGTGAGCTACCTGAGACCCTTTGTGCTGGAAAGTAAAGGTGGTCCCCAGAGTTGGAAAGCATAAGTGAGTGGCAATGATGAGGATATGTTTGAAGATCAGAGTTAGACATATGCTTGGATAAGTAGAACCTCACATCGTTTCTCTAAAGTCACTTACGTAAACCAATAGATTCTCTCTTGTTACACAATTGGCAGGCTGACTCAGACTTAACCTCAAATTTAATAACTAATCATAGTTCTATTTTTTTTTAACTTCATCAGGCACAGAATTCACTCCTTTGTTTCTATTATTGTTTTGTCTTGTCCTAGCTATGAGGGGCTGTGGTAGCAAATGTTGTCTTTACTATATGCAAAAGAGAACAAATGGATACAGATGAGAAAATTCCCCTTTTCTGATTTTAAAGTCCCTATTCAGATATTACAGAGCACTTGGCCCAACTTAAGGGGTTTAGATCTAATTTGCTTTTGATATTTCTTTTGGAGACATTTAGGGATTTTTAACCCCATTCCATAAATTTAGGAATGTTTTCCCATGTCCCATAAATTGTTCAGCACTTTTTATTTCATTTATTTTTTAAGTAATCACACTTAAGCTATTAATACAAGCTCTAGTATTATATAACAGCCCATCAGTGGCTGGGGAATAAAATATTTAGCATAAATTTTTAAATGACCATTTAAAAATTCAAGTTACATATGAACCAAATTGTAATATAAACATAGAAACTTTTACATAAATAAATTTTTACATCTATGATTCTCTAATTAGTATATTTCTCTAATAGTCAACTATCTGCAGTATGTTTTGCGTCTCATGAATTATTTTTCTGACATAATTAAATAGTTCACTAGATGAGGTTAGTGTCTAAACATTTATATATGGGCTACATTCCCAGGATGAGCCTTATCATGCATATTAGTTGACCAGCTTAATCCAAAGGCAAAGAAAACACTAGTTTTCTGAGAACTCTTCCGAGTGATCAATTACTTTATTGATGCCATTAACAAACAAGTTGCAATAGTTTGGTCTAATGAAAAATTGATTGTAATTAAATATCAAATAAACAGATCGAAGCCAGAGTTTCTGACCTATAGTGCTAGCATCCTGACACCAAGCCCATGACTGACATTCCAGTTCCCAGGGTGCACCTGGTAAAATCTGAATTCAGAATTGCCTTTCAAGCTGCATCATTTATCAGAGAGGATAAGCAAAGGACTATGGTCATAATCATAAGTCCTTGCTGTTGTAGCAGTAGGCTGAGAACCTCTTTTTTTCTATAATCAATCTAGAAAAGGCCCTTCACACAGGGAACATGAAGAATTTCATCTGAGAATATTGGAATCTTTTACTGTAACAAAAGCAAGAACTTTGTTTAGAATGTGATAGGCAGCTAAAATTGTCATGCCCATTGTGTTCAATTAGGAGCAGAATTTTAGTTAAAAATTATTTTTCCACATTGAAACACTTTGTAAACACAAATAGCTCTAAAAAATGCTTTGTTCAGTTGCTGTTTATTTTCCTGTGAAAACTCGCATTTGTACTCGTATGTACATGAGTGTATATATATATATCTATAGATAGGTATGTGTGTTTCAGATGTCAGTGTATAAGCCAGTGGGTTTATAATGAGCTTTATATGGGTTAAAAAAGCCAACAGATGCAGAGAAAAATTAATGTTTTTTATTGATAGGTATGCTTATACAAAAAATTTAGGTTTTAAACTATTTTGAAATATATAGCAATTTTATATGTATAATATTTTCTATAGATAGATTCTTTAAGAGATATATTTATAATGTTTCTAATATGAAATCACTGAACTTTAGTACATTTGACAGGTGCTTTATAATCTGAAATGGAGTGCGGGTGGGGGATTTTAGGTTATTTCTGTTTACTTGTTTCTGTTGCACCTTTGCTGACATCTTGAAGTATGTGTTTTTTTAGTAAAAGTCCATCAACCAGTTCTTACCACCTCTCTATACCTACATTTTAATGTATAACTTTTGAACAAAATGTTATTTCTTAAGAGTACCAAAATGTTTTATAGATAATGTAATTTGACTAGTAATCAATGACACTCACACTTACATAACGTTCTCTTGAGAAATTAAAAAATCCATATACACATTCTTTTCATTGTGATTAAATAAAAACAGCTTAAATTACTTTTCTTTTTTATATCAGGAAATATATTACCATTTTCATTGAGAAACTTCTCATAACAGAACCTTTATTTTATACCCTTAAAAAAAGATTTGTGAGTGACCACATAAATGCCTACCTATCCTACATTTAAGAAGGTAGCTCTGCAAATTCAAGTCATTTATGAGAAAAATTTAGAAATTTTGATACATATACTAAAATACAGATTACCGCTTAATCACATATTCCCCAGAGAGAAACATTAAGAAAACTATCCATAACCTAATTTAGGACATGTAATAAAGAAAAGCTAATGTTGACATATATAAAACTTTACTATTACCAACCATAATTGATAGAAAATACCTGTTTCAGAATTATCTACCTTTAAAAGATAAGCATTCTTTTAATTTTTCTGAGTAAAGATTTCATTTTAATTTTCTTTCTTTAAATATTAGCCAAAAATGTTTTAGGTCCTGGATGTTTACAACTAGTTAAAATATTTTGAATTAGAATCTACATTTGCCAAATTATTTTCAAAATTTATTTAAGTGCTTCGTGGGGAGAATAAGAAAAAGTAATGGCTCCCCAATACTGATAATGCCAGTGGGGGCAGGTTAGTCTTCTTTGCTCTTGTCAGGACATATTTCATGATTACAAACCACACAATAAAGTGCCAGGATTCCATCCTCCCTGTGATGTTCTCCTGATGTGCTTCATCCTCTGCTAGTTAACACCAAAAATGAAATTTCCACAGGACCTCAAGGGACTGCATTTAGCATATACATCATGGAATATTAAGAGTCACATGATTATGGTGAATTCTTTGGAGGGCGGGGATTATCTGTTCTTTTTGCTAGTGCCAAAATAGTGCCTTCTCTGTACATTTCTCACACATGTGCTAAACATGAAGGGAAAAAGTACCAAAGTTCACATAGTAACTAATGCCAGCACAGGCCATTTTTTAGTCATGTAGATGAGAAAATACGACTGTTTGATTTTGTTGTTTAGCTAAGATTTTTTTCCCCTTTGTGCATAATTGTATTTAAACATTTATCAATGGCTTTTGGTTGCTAGGTTTTGAGAGGCCTCATCTGTTATTGTTGTGGTTGTTGGTTTTTGTAACATTCGTTATTGTTTTGATGTACACAAGTTAGTCTTAGTGATTTCAAATGCATTTTGTTATGGCTCAACCCAATTCGCGGCCCTGTTTGCTGGGAGCACTCTAAGCTCTTAATTCGCTATGGCTGGAGCCACTGTCACCATTTCTGGCCTTAAAGAGCTGTTATTCACCACTGACAGCTCTGTGGGGTTATAACCAGGACTCCAGGGTGGCTCCAGGGTCAGGCAGCCTGCAAATTGTGAACACCTATAGTTACCCCTGTTAGGTGCGGTCTTAGGATAATGGGATAGGATGCAAAGTGAAAGACTTCATATAAAAGTAAGATAGATTGCGATCCTTGATTTCAGTTGAGTATCCCATGTGTACCTCAAGGAAATGATCAAGAACCTCTGTGAGTCATGGAAGGGCTAGCTGCTGCCTGGAACTGGTACACCAGAGCCTGGCCCACTCACCTGACAGTCTTGGGGTGGAAAGTCCACGGGCTCAGGCTCAGTTGGTAAAGAGCCTGTATTGCCAACAAATTGCCATGCCCATGCCTGGCTGACAGCTCTTCATATCTGGTATCCACTAGGGGTGCCCAGTTGTTTTGCTTCTTTGTTACTTTATTGTATTATCATTGTACTTAATAGAAAGTGTTGATAGGGTCCAAAACCCTATAGAAATTCTGTCTGTCAAAACCAACAAATGCTTTGGATTTGTGCGAATATAAAGATATTTTGTTGGTAGGTAATTTTAAATTTAAATGTTTTTGATGATAATCGGTGTTTCTTTTTACTCATAAAGTTGGATTATTTTTTAGAATTTGTAATAAATAAAAACTATTGCTGCTTTACCACTGTAAAATATGCTTTCTAATGTGACCATGTATTTTTTAAATAAATTTTAAATATGACTTGTAATGTAGTATGCATATGTATTGCACATACCAAAAGCATACATTTCACACTTAACTAATTTAAACCGCCTTTTTATTTGGGAACCTCTAAAGCTCAACAGTGTCTTCATATATTCTCAAAATTCATGGCAAATTCCAAAAATATCAGTTTTTTCAAAAGCATGCCACCCCATCTGGGTCTTATCACTTTAATTGCCATTTCATGGATCAATACCTTTGACCTCAATATATATGCAGGAAACTCCTCAGTGTTCTCCCAATCAACATAACCATTAATACTTGGTGAGTATTGTATATAACTTACAGAAATTGTATATAACTTACGGAAAAATTCACTTACAGTGAATAAATATTTACCAGTTCCTCTTCTGACAGAGGAGGAATCAAAGAGCTTTCTGATATGGCTGGAAGTTATTTAAAATTACAGATCTCTTGAGTTACCTCATTTAATTTTGAAGTATCTTTGTGTGTATACTTAATTCTTATTGATTCTTGTAAATTGGAGCGAACACTATGTGTTGAATTAAAAAAAAAATTTAGTGTCCACTTAGCAAACATGAAACCAAGCTAAGACAGCAATGTATTTGCCAAGTATAAGTGTAAAACTTAAATATCTGATTGTTGACTTGATTCAGATTGTTAATAAGTTGTGATCCCCCCTCTGCTCTGGAACTACACAGAAAGAAAGTGATCCCCCAGAAGCTGGGTCCAGCCAGGAACCCCTGGAGATAGGAATACCATCTTAGTGTTTGTAGGGCAAGTGAACTAATCAGGTTTTTTGCACCGTTAGCCTTTGTGGCTACCACCTGTGGCCTTGATCATGCTAATACAGGAGGTGCTTGGGAGTGTGGCCTGATTGTGGACACCTGGAGTATGGATGTGGGCATCCGCAAGTGTGCACATCTGAGCCTGGAGGCCAGGGCTGTAAGGTTGGCGTCACTCAGAGATGGAAGAAGATGGCTACCTGAGGAGTGACTACAGAGGGGTGAGTCCACGAGAGAACGCCAGAGAGCCCAGAGAAAAATCATAAAGATTTGTGGGGGGCTAAATTGCCTACCTAGTCCCCACTAGTCTCCCCTCCCATCCATGCCAGTGTTCTTTAAAGAAGGCCACTGTAGGGTAAGGTAAAAGGTATCAGGCTTTTCTGCCCTCCCGCCATCAGGATAGATGAGGGAACCCTGTGATCCTGAATGCACGCCTGATGGCGGGCACCTGAAGTGGGTCCACCTGCGCTAAGACTGTGCTTTTAAGGGCGGCGTCACGGGGACGCCAAGATGAAGCTGAAAGAGAAGCCGAGAGAGAAGCAGAGCCATAGGAAGAAGCAGAGATCACCGGAGAGCCCAGATAGAGTGAGGATTTGCTGGGGGCTGGGAGCACTGCCAGCCTCCCGGCCCCCCAGCACCCTTGCCTGCCACGTACCCAATGAACCCCAATAAAAGACCTGCAAAAAACCACTGAGGACTCTGACTCCTCCTTTACCTGATCTGCATGGGATCCTAGAAAACCTGCACTGTGTCCAGTCCTGCCACTACAGCCACAGATAGCTTTCCTTTGTAGTCAAGGGTCAAAATCTGGATTGAGAGATTAGGCTAAGTCCCCTTCCGTCTGGAAAGAATGATTATTTCACCCCACAAAGAATCTCCAAAAATGTCACAAAGACACAAAAATGACCCATTTTATATTATTTCAACTTTTAAGGTAGGTTAAAATATGGGTGAAACTAGAAAGAAACTCAGATCAATATTGATAAACTTCCTTGAACCTTTCTAGTAACAGATTTATAGTCAACTCCAATATTTTTTGGTAGCAGAGATTACCGATGTCGTAAACCTTGGGTAAAGAATACTTATTACTCTCAACAGGGATAAACAGTTGCAGGGTAAGGAAAAATGTCAGGCTTTTCTGCCCTCCCGCCATCAGGATAGATGATGGATCCCTGCGGTCCTGAATGCATGCCTGATGGCGGGCACCTGGAATAGGGTGTGGGCATAGGTAGATGGGATTCACCTGGGCTGAGACTGGACTTTTAAGGGCGGCATCACGGGGGATGCCAGCAGCAGTAGAAGCCAAAAGAGAAGCCAAGAGAGAAGCAGAGAAGGCTGGAGAGCCCAGATAGAGTGAAGACTTTCTGGGGGCTGGGAGGCCTGCCAGCCTCCTGGCCCCCCAGCACCCCTGCCTGCCATGTACCTGGTAATCCCAGTAAAAAAGCCTGCAAAAACCACTGACGACTCTGACTCTTCCTTTACCCAGTCTGCTAGATCATAGAAAACATGCACTGTGGTCTTCCTGCCCTTTACAGCAGTCAACGTGAGGAGGAAGACAAGACAGAGGCTACTGCCCAGGAGAATTACACAGCTGAGGGTTCCATGGTGGGAAGCAAGCTCACTTCTGGGCTCTGGGTCTATTTATCCATAGTAGTAGCACAGCATTGTCATGACTGAGGTTTTCTGGGGGTCCCCGGTGGCTGAATTGCCACATGTCCTGAATCCTCCCCCGCCTGCTCACTGATTCATGATACTTCTTCAGCAAGGCCCAAGGGTTTCACTGCCCTAGTAGAAATCAGACTTAAAATGCCCATGTTCTTAAAACCAAAATACTTAAGTGGCACTAAGGTGCAAATAATTGATAGCAGGGCCTTCCCGGTGGCGCAGCAGTTGAGCACTGAGTTGCGAAGCTGCCCGCAGCCTCTGCAGTGCCAGTTCGATTCCCCAGCCGCTGGAGAGGGTCCCACATGGCGCACAGACCTCCTGCTGCCCACTACTCCCTTCAGCAGTGTACTTCGTCAGTCTGCCTGTTCTGTTCCTCACTCTGGCTCTGGTGAATTCTCTCACCCTCCTGCGCTTCTGACTGTACCCCAGTGCTTGTATAAATAAATAAATCTTTTAAAAAAATAATTGATAGCAGATGCTGTTTAATAAGAAGCACTTAGAGGGCGTAAACAAATAGGCATGGGCTGGTTGAAATGGGAGAGGAACAGCATTAAGAAAAAGCCATTTATTCACTTAGAACTGTGTTTCCCATACTCACCTAGGGGCTCTTGCCACTAATGGACAGTAGTACAATCTTATAGCATGCTACATCCTGGAGCTAAAAACCTAATTTCTTTACCCCATCTATTTTAACGAGACCAAGGTTCTGGGATCCTTCCTTATACTCTGGTATCTCATAATTAGTGGTTCTGGGAGCATAAAAAAATGTCTGGTATTTCTATTAGAATAAGATTTTCAGTGTTATATTTGAAACTCCTAAAATTATCTTCTGCTAAGAACCTGAAACCATTTTTTTAGACTTCATCTTAATTGTATTTCTAGTTAATGAAAATTAGTTAGTGCAGCCTACCCCCCACCCCTGGATCACACTTCTCTCACTTTTCTATCTCCTGGTTTTTGCTTCTTCCTTCTGCTACTGCTCTTTCCTCTCCAGCTCTCTATTTGTTCAGCCAGTGCAAGGGACTGCTGTCCTCACTCTGCAGAGAAAGGCACTAATGCTCAGTTGGTTGGTTAAAGCAGTGCCCTACCATGTGTGACCGCCCTGGTCAATTTTTAAAAGCTGTTTCTATGTTTTCAGAATCTCACATCAGGAAGCAGCTGATGATTCAGGGGAGGCTTGAGTTCCCTAATTTGTTCCATCCCTGAGACATTCTGTCCTCCATGGAATGGGGAGTCAGTGAGTGAAGTGACAGAGGCAGACAAGCAACAGATAATAAAGAAGTGGGTGATGCAGGTAATATGATCATTTATCTAGAAACCTACGAGAGCTGTTGAAAACTACATGGACAAATAAGAGGGTCCATTTAGGTGATGAGATATACACTGACCATACAAAAATTAATCATGACTCAGGAAGCCAGACTTCAAGTTGTATTTGGCTTAGAGCCGTAAGATAATATTTACTTTAATTGACCAATATCACAGCAATTATTGGAGAAAAATGGAAAAGTTTAGTGCAAACAGATCCTCATAATAAAATTCTTTTTTACCCTAGAGACCAAGAAAATGGCTTTTTGAGCAAAATACAACTCATAAAACAAAGCTTTAGCAGTTTTATTTTTCAAATTTGGAGTCATCCTGAGATTGCTTCTTTCAAGGACAACGGCCTTGTGATTAAGCAGCTACAGGTCTTGGGAAACCCCTGTGCTTGTTGTAACCCTTGCTTCCATGCTAACAGAGTGTATTTGTTCCCTAGGAGCACAAAATGAAGTAACCACAGATTGGGTGACTTAAACAATAGAAACATATTTTTTCACAGTTCTGAAAGTTCAAAATTCAAGACTGGTTTCTTCCAAAGCCTTTCTTCGGCCATCTTCTCCTTGTGTCTTCATATTTATTGTGTCTGTGTCGAAATTTCCTTTTATTATAAGGGTACCAGTTAGATTAGATTAAGGCCCACCCTCATGACCTCATTTTAATTTATTACCTCTTTTAAGATATCCTGTCTCCAAATATGGTCACACTCTGAAGTACTGAAGGGTAAGATTTCAATATTAAAAATATTGGGAGAGGGCCACAATTTAACCCCTAATAGACCCAGGATAAATTTGGGTGCCTAAATTTAGATAAAGTGTATATGACTACAAACAGGTTTAGGACATTTCCAAAAATATTCTAAGTTTTAGGAATTAATGATAATTCTAACAATAATCCCCAAATTATTTTCCATATAAGTTAACTAGTTTGAAAATATAATGAGGACATATTCATTCACAATAACCAAATAAGCAAGCAAAAATAGGAAATGTCTCTCATATTACAAGCAAATGAGTAACTACATAAGCATGTTTAACTATCTGACTGTGTACACACATGTGTATAAGTACATATATGCATATAAGTACACACACACACACACATTTAGGGATCCCAGACTTAGCTAAAGTATATTTGACATAAGGAGGCTTGGAAAAACAGAATGATAAAATTGTTGTCCTAATACCAGAATTAACCAACTAGAAAATATAATGGGGACATAAGGAAGACTTGAAAAATTGGTAAGATATATAACATAATATTTCTGGGTAGGAAAACTCAATATTGTTAAATGTGTCCATTCTCCCCCAAATCAAAAATTCAGTGCAATCATAATCAAACACTACAAAATTTTATGGAGATAGATAAGTTGATTCTAAATTTCATCTGGAAGAAAAAATGTACAATAATAGAAGAATAATGAGAGGGTATAAGGTCAGGAATGATACGGAGCAGGTTTTCTATGATCCAGCAGACCGGGTAAAGGAGGAATCAGAGTCCTCAGTGGCTTTTGCAGGACTTTTATTTAGATTTACCAGGCATATGGCAGGCAGGGCTGCTGGGCAGCTGGGAGGCCAGCAAATCCTCACTCTATCTGGACTCTCTCTGGCGTTCTCTCTGCTTCTCTTCTCTAGGCTTCTGCTCGTTCTTGGCTTCTGCTGGTGTCCCCATGACACCACCCTTATAAACTCACTCTCTCAGCCCAGGTGTACCCACTCCAGGTGCCCGCCATCAGGCATGCATTCAGGACCACAGGGTACCCTCATCTATCCTAATGACAGGAGGGCAGAAAAGCCTGATACTTTTTACCTTACCCCGTAGAGGGGCATCCCTTCTCCAAATAACAAAACATGCTATAAACCAGCACCAATTAATGCATTCTATAGGCATATGTAAAAATACCAGCAGAATAAAATAGAACAAAAATAGATTCATGTCTATGTGTCATTTAATGCACAAAAAAAGTCAATTCAGAAAGATGAAAAAAGAAGAAATTGTTTATCAAATGATAGTGTGACAATGATAATCCAACTGGAAGCAAAATTAGATTTAAAATTTGTGATATGTAGGGTATTGTAGATGGGATATGTAGATGGGATTCACCTGGGCTAATACTGGCCTTTTGAGGGCAGCATCACAGGGGCGCCAGCAGAAGCCGAGAAGCAGAAAAGCAGGAGAGCAAAGAAGCTGAGAGAACGCCTGAGAGCACAGAAAGAGTGAAGACTTGCTGGGGGCTGGGAGGCCTGCCAGCCTCCCGGCCCCCCAGCACCCCTGCCTGCCATGTGCTTGGTCAATCTAAATAAAAGCCTGCAAAAAGCCACTGAGGGCTCCAGGACTCTTTCCTCCTATACTCCATCTGCATGGGATCATAGAGAACCTGCACTGTGTCCATTCCTGCCTTTACATGATACCAGAACAAATTATAGATTTAAAGGCTAAACATGAACAACACAACACAATTAATAAAAGTTTTAGATGAATATACAAAATAATTTGAGGCAGAGAAATTCTACCTAAGGAAATATAAAACCCAGAGTCATGAAGGAAGTTACTGGAAAATGTAATTGCTTAAACAATGGTGTTCTTGAGCCATCAGCAAAGAAAAATGGGTACAAGGAATTAGAAGAAAATGTCTACAATGTGTAGAACATCCAAGAATTTACTAGTCAGAATATAAGATTCTACCATTGCGTGAAACAAACAATAAAATGTACTAAATTTTTAAATATAAGAAAATACAAATGTCTGATTAAAACATAAGAAACTCATTCTTGATAATAGGAAAAATAAGGGGAATTGCAGGAACACAGGGAGACAGCCTCCCACCCCACCCTGGCAGGTTGTAACAATGGAATCATCACATCCAGCGTGGTGGGTGCATGCAGAAAGGAGTAGTTTCATTCCTATGCTCCTGAAGACTGCAGAATTGGCTCTAAATAGGGACATCTTTGTTGAAAGGCAAATTGGCAATGTTTATAAAAAGTGTTAAATATCTTGGCCTTTGGCCAAATAATTTCACTTCCAGGAACTTATATTGTAGAAATATTCATGGACATAAAGATATTGGATAAGGATAGTTTTAGCACTGTTTTTTAATTAATTTTTTAAAAGAAAGCACAGATGGAGCTACTGAATACAACTCTTCATTAGCCCCAGATCTCTCCACATGTGGGGCCATTAGGCTCTTGCTTGTGAAGAACTTGCAGACCTGCAGGAAGGAGCTGCTGAAGAGGGTGTCTGGGTCCCCATGGATCTGAGACGCCCAGGGATTTGACCCTTGCCTGCTAGTCTGCATTTGGCTTTTAAGAATTCACAAAAACTTGGAAAGTCAGACGTTTTCTTCTAAGGGCTGTTTTTATGGCAGCCACTCCTCCCTGGGCAGACTTGCCGCTCCCCAGGTCAGGTTGCCTGGCCAGGCCGCAGTGAGGTAAGTCTGCAAGTTCTGTCTTCAGTCTCGAGTGTTTAAGGTGGCGTTTGGGCCCTCTCCCGTTTATTGGTCGGGTGGGCACCTCTGCAGAACTCTCCTTCGTAGTGATTTCAACAGCTTGTTTTAACCAGCAGAGTGAGGGTTATACCTCCCGGACTTTCAGGTCAGCTACAACCTGGATTAAGACTTAGGCTGAGTTTAAGCTCCTGCATCCTCATCTGTAAAACCAGGATGGTGTTAACAATACAGCTGGCCTCAGACTTCTCCATAGGAGCAGCAAGAGATGCAATGTATGGTATAACACTGGTTGGAACAATGAGTTCCTGGTAAGTAATTATTACAGTCCAGAAACTGGTGGCAGACAAGTCATGCAGTAAGATACACCTGCCCTCTGATTTATAGCAGAGGGTGGAATTAGGAAGCAGGCGCAGATCCCCACTTAGGTTCTACAGTTTGTTGTAAGTGTGGGAGAGAAGTACTCATGGTCGGCAGCGCTTAGCCCAGCCCAGAGAGGGTGAGTCTCCTCCATGAGTTTCACCAGGAGTTGGGCCCTCTAATGGCAGACCAGCCTTCCCACGTGGGACCCCCAGGGCTAAAGTGTCGACTGCAGTGGAGATTCACGTGTGCAGCAAGCCTGAATGCCAAATATAAAACAGGAGCAGCAAGAACAGCTGAAGACAATGATCTAGTAATTGAGAGACCTTCTAATAATGAGCAGAAAAACCACCGGGGTGCCTTTGACAGAGCATCAGTGTTCTACCTGAACGGGTGGAGAGCGTGCTGGTGACAATTGCAATTGTGGTTCAATGTGAACCCATTGGTATCCTCAGGATTATGCAGGACTTTCTTAAAGTTAATCAATTTGGTAAGACCTCAAGTCTTGGAGGAATTTGAGTGATTTGCAATTGACATTTCGCCCTGACGCCTTCTTTTACTCTCCTGGGAAGGCGCAGCGCCAAACTTCTCCGCCAGGGGGCAGGAGAGGTCACATTGCACAGAAGAGATTTAAAAAAAAAAAAAAAACCAACCACACACACACGCAAAAACTTTTCCCCCCAAACTGTGTTCCTTCTCATGAAACCGAATCCTGCAGCTGTGGCGTCCCAGGCGCCCGCCCCGACCTGGAGCGGCTCCCGCCCCGAGGCGGCGCCCCGTGCCCGCGTCTCCCCGGCACCCTGCCCTGGCCCGGAGCTGCCGGCTCGCGCCTCCGCCCGCGGTCCCAGCCCCTGCGCTCGCTCCTCGCCCCGAAGATGAAGGTTTGGCTGCTTCTTGGTCTTCTGCTGGTGCACGAAGCGCTAGAGGAAGGTGAGTGACTCTGGGGAGGGCCTACTCCGCTTGCCCCTCAGCCTCCTCTGCGCTCCTCTAACTTTTGACCCCCCAGGAGCCACCTCCTGCCCCGTGCACCTGCCCCGTCCTAGCAGAGCCCCTGTACCTCCGCTCCTTCTCCCCTGGAAGCCCCCGGGACCGTGGCCTCTACCCCGCTCCAGAAAAACCCTCGTCGGGCAACCCGAGCACCCCCAGGCAGCGCCTGTTCCAGCCCCCACTGTCAACGTGTCGGGGTGGGGTGGCGCCAGGCGGGGCATCACTTCCACCTCGGCGCTGGGGCCGCCCGGGGGATCTTGGCTGCTAAGGGCGGGTGCCACCTCAGCAAGGCAACTGCGTATTCTTTTGCAAAATTCGAATGCTTCTCCCATCTGCCATCCTGCATTTGTTTCCTATACCACCTTGGGCATGAATCCTGCAAGATCTTAGACCAGATATTTCTCCTTACTAATCTCAAAACCCACAATGTTACCCTTACCCAAATGGATAGAAAAGGTGAATAAAATGCTTTGTTGTGTAGTTGCAGCAGCCCTTGGGCGACTGCACGTTTTTGACCCGCCCTGGACCCACCCTGTTGGGTCACCCACAGCTGCAGGGCCTGCACCTACGCATGCTCACCTGTATTGCTGGAGGTATGGCTGTAGGTCTATATGTTACTGTTAGTGTTTGTTGTGTTTGGCTGCCTTCTTGCCTTGGTGGTATTTGTGTAGTACATTTTGCATCAGAGTACACCCTAGGATCCTGAAACCTCCTTTGAAATTCCTCAGCTACAGCCACAATTTGTGCTTAGTTCTGGTTTTTACTGTTATGCAACCTCAAGCTGGAGCCAGCTCAGCCTGGCTCACATTTTACCCAGTACTCCATCCCAACCAGTTCCTTTCTTTCCTGTGGAACTACAAGCGTTTGCCCAAAAAAAAAAAAAAAAAAAACAAAAAAAACCACATTCTAGTTTACAAAGCCCAAGATGGTTTGGAACTTGAAGCTGGGGATGAAGATCCCTCAGCCTGAGTTTGCTGAATAAAATGGAGGCAATGCTGCTTTTCCAGGAGCAACAGCTACTCTGCGCGAGTTCATGTTATAAAATGAGTTAAGTACTCCTGGCAGATCCTGGCTTGTGACCTGTCGAAGTGTTGGAAATGTCTTATTTAGTATAATTATTTGAACAGGGCAGGAAATGGCCAGACAAAATAATTTCAAACAACCCATTCACTAGTCTATATCACTAATCCAAGATGCCTGCCTCCGGGGCTCAGGAGGCTGAAGCCAGCCTCTGCCTCCTGGATTATTCCTGGCCCCCGGTGGCCCATGAGGATGATGACAAACATCTCCCTGAGGCAATGGGTTGCTGTTTGAGTCAAATGTAATTCACACTACCAATAAACATGTGAGCTGATGGGAGAAAGTTTAACACAGACTGAGTACTTTGTAAGAAATGATAGATGAATTTTGGGTGTGATAATAGTACTGTGGTCATAATGTTGCAGAAATAAATTCTAGCCTTTTAGCAGGGCAGGGGAAGAACAAGTGGTACTTCAGGAATGGTGAGATCAGGAGAAGCTTTATTACTCATGCATGAGATCTCAGACCTGGACAGTCTTGTAAGGTCTGAGCATCCACCGAGAGACAAAGGGTCTCTTTTACACACAATCATCTTACATTGATAACATTGGTCAGTGATCACAGAAGTTCTGGGAGATCAATCAGCCTGGCCAGTGGTCCAACCAAGTTAGAATGTCACCTCCTTTAGATATGCTTATTAGGGAAGCAAACTTGTTATTTACAATTGCATTGGATTATTTACTGCCCCTGGCCTAAGACCCTTCAGTAGGAAACAAGAAAGATTTATTTGCTTAGCAGTTCCTTTTCAAGAATGGATCCAAACCTACCCTAATTCCTCATTTTATTTTTTAAAGATTTATTTATGCATACAAGAACTGGGGTACAGGCCAGAGATGTGGCAGGTGAGAGGATTCACCAGAGACAAACTGGGGAACAAAACAGGCAGACTGAAATACACTGTTAAGGGGAACAGCGGGCAAATCAGGAGAGGTCTGCTGTGCCATGTGGGTAGCTTGCTGGCCGGGGATCGAACTCGTGCTGCAGTGGATGCTGATAGCTTCATAGGTTGCATCTTAACCACTTGAGCCACCAGGGAGGCCCCCAAATACCTCATTTTAATTTGATCACATTTACAAAGAACCCATTTCCAAATAATGTCACAATCACAAGTACCAGGAATTAGGGCTTCTGTGTATCTTTCGGGGGGAACAATTAAAACATAATACTGGGTAGCAAAATGGAGAGGCCTGAGGAGGGGAGTGAAGATGTGGTTTGGAAAGGAGGGTCTGAGGCCAGCTTGGCACCTTTGGGTGTCTGAAGGAGGAGTGACTGGGGCCAAAGGCATGGGAGCACATCAGCTTTGGGTGTCTCAGTGGTGAATGTGGCTGAACACCGAGGTGGGACAGAAAATGTCAAAGCCTTGTAAGGCCTGGGAAGACTTAGGGCTTTGTTCTAAATGGGAAGAGATTCCTGGAGGGGAGCAGAGAGCACACGATCTGTGTTTTTGCAGGTGAGTGGCTGTTTTAATAGTCCAGATGAAACATGGCTTGGCTCAAGGTGCACAGAGGACTAGGCTTCAGTTTATTTTGACAGTACAGCCAAGGAGTTTGCTGCTGGACATGGCTTGGGTGAGAAAGAAAAGAATCAAGTGTGACTCTGAGGTTTTTTTCTTGACCAGCTGGGTGAACCGAGTTTCCTTTTGCTGATAAAGAGATGCTAGGGAAGGAGCCAGTGTGATAGGCGTGGAGCTCAATGTGGACACGAACGTTTGAGATACTTATGAGCCTTCCCTGGGGCAGTGCTGGGAAGGAAACAAGGTTTAAAGGCAAAAATCAGGGCCTCCCCGATGGCACAGCAGTTGAGCGCTGGGTTGCGAAGCTGCCCGCAGCCTCTGCAGCGCCGGTTCTATCCCCGGCTGCTCCCCGGCCACCGGAGGAGGGTCCCACATGGCGCAGACCTCTCCTGCTGCCCGCTGCTCCCCTCAGCAGTGTACCTCGGTCCTTCTGCCTGCTCTGCTCCCCGCTCTGGCTCTGGTGAATTCTCTCACCCTCCCGCGCTTCTGACTGTACCCAGTGCTTGTATATAAATAAATAAATCTTTAAAAAAAAAAAAAGGCAAAATCAGAACAGGAACAGGGCAACCCTGAGCATCTAACCCCGCTTTTATCCGGGGGGTGGTGTAGGCCACGCAGACTGCCCTTAGTGATTGGGAGCAGTGACAAGGATTAAGTCCTTGGGACTCAGATCAGACAGAAAAAGATGAAGAGCAGCCAAATAGTCTGAGGAGTTTCACTGGCACAGGAGGAAAACCAAGATGGCGATGTGTCCTGGGCCCCAGCCAGCAGTGATTCCAGGCGAGAGTGATCAACCATGTACTATTGGATGACCTAGAAAATGTTTCAAATTAAGATCTTTATCCTGGAATATGAGTACTTAAGAAAATGATAGTTCAAGAAATGGAAGCAGGGTGCTTTGGAGTGAAGTGCCAGAAGGGAGCAGGGCAAGCCAAGGGTCCCCTCTTTCTACCTCTGCATCTTCCTGGTCATTGCTTTTCTGCCTTAGCTTGTTTGAAAAGTGTAGGTGTTAACTTGTGGGGTGTTTTATGAAGAATGGGAAAATGAGAGGGGGGCTTGTCTCTATAGTGGGGACCCCTGAGCTATTCAAACTTCTAGTGCAGTTGTGTTGATGTGATCCTCACAACAGCCTTTCCCCCTTAACTGCCCACGGGGAGAGAAAAACCAACCAGCTATAGTTCTTAGATGTTAATGACTGTTTGCACACAGACCTCTTTGAAACAGCAGTCAGTGATTATTTTTCTCTAAAATAATTGCAGAGAGGTTCACAGTCAGATCACCTGTATTGTAAGGACTCATTGCAACCCTCAGTTAATGCTGAAGAATTAGTCTTTTATGTGGCCCGCTTTTTAACATTTTTTTGTTCATTTTGGAGATAAGTTTTTGACCAGCGGCTTCATGGGGATTCTAATGTATGCCTTGGAAAAGCACCTCCAGGCCTTCCAGGAAAGTGCTGCCTCTCATCCATGGCATGGAGTTTTGTTTGACTTGGAACTCCTTGTGCAGGTTGGGGGTGTAGCAAACAGAGAAACCACTCAGACAGGAGGCTGTGGGTGAGATTGGTGCAAATAAAGTAAAACTGCTACAATATCTTTCTCTCCAAGGGACTCAAAAGGCAACAGCATGAGCCAGAAAAAACTCTAGGCCTGGAGTCAAAGGGTCTGGTTTCTTACTACCTTCTTAGTGACCCAGGATGAGTTTACTGATGTCTGTGATCTCAATTGTTTTCATCTGTTAACTGAAATAACAGCTGCTTTGCTTCCACTTAAGTTTATCACGCATCACCTCGAAACAAGATGAGAAGCACAGAACAACATGAAGAATTTAACTAGCACTGACTTATGGCTGGAAGCTTTACTCAGCACCTTAAGCATATTAGGTTATTTCATCCCCACAGCTGTCCATGAGAGAGTCATTATTGCCTTATAATTCTCTACTTACAGATGAGGAAACTGAGACAGAGGGTTATTTCCCATGGTCACACAGCTAGTCAGTGGCAGCCAGGGCCTGATGTCAGTAATATTTGATTGCAATTTTTACCAGCTATTTCTCAATAAAATCTGTGTGATAGTCTCAAAAGTGCAATGGTAATAGACTTTCACTTTTATTTATGTACAATATAAATTTTTATGTTTCAGGCCTCTGAAAACAGTTTACACAGCTAGGCTGAAGAGTCATGCATATTCTTTCCAGAAGTTAGATGTGGGATTGGCAGTCATTTGATCCTAAGATTTTCTGAGGGTCTGCGGTACCTGTAGGCTGGCTCGTTTAACTTGGCGTCACTATCCTCAAACCATGAACTATTTCCTTGGTCAGGCAGCTGGACAAAGTATGTAGTTAGATCTGGGGGTGTGGGAGGAGGTATCTGGTCAAAGGGTCAAATTATTTTGCAAGGATAACAGCACACATTTGGATGTGTAATGACCTTAATCAGTTCATCAAGTGTTCCTGAGTAGCCCAGCCACACAGAATGTGATGGCTTAGAAATCAGTCAAGTTGGTCTAGCTGCTGAAATTCCATAGGATTTCCAGACCCCTGTCGCCATATTGGGGAGCTTGAATTCTTGGTACCTGATAAAGAAAACACACCAGGGCCTCCCTGGTGGTGCAAGAGGTTAAGACACAACCTATCTAGCTATCTGCAACCACTGCAGCATGAGTTTGATCCCCAGCCTGCCAGGGAGTGACCCACATGTGCAGCAGACCTCTCCTGACTCACCCGCTGCTCCCCTCAGAGTGTATTTCAGTCAGTCTCCCTGTTCTGTTCCCCATTCTGTCTCTGGTGAATCCTTTCACTCCCCCCACCCCCCACACACACCTCGGGCCTCTACCCCAGTTCTTATATGCATAAATAAATAAATCTTAAAAAAAAAACCCATTGAATTAGTCATTAATCCAGAGGTCTGTGAATCTCCTAGGTATAGGGTTACAACTGCGTGCAGGACACAAGTGACTTGGACATCATAACGGTGGGCTTTAATTTTCTATATTATGAAAAACACCATGACCTTGTTCTTACAAAGCTGAGGTGTATGCTTCACCGTGGACCTGGCTGGATTCGTGTGCTTGTGTAGGTCTGCAGTCTTCCCACTGGTGCTATTGCTTCTCCCTCTGGGAAGTTGAAGTTGTGTGTGTGTACATGTGTGTGCCATGGCCCCCATGTCTCAGAACCCCAGGGGTGAATAAACCAAACTCATGGGGTCAGGGGAACTCTTGACAAACAATCAGATCGGCAGCAGGTGTTGGGGACTTGCGGGGGAGTCTAGAGTTCAGAACATACCTCTGCTCCCAGGAAGGACTAGGACCCAGAGTAGAGGACGGTTGGGTAATAAGAACAGACTTACTTCTCAGGAAATAGGACACGCAGGAAAAAGAGGGGGTCACAGTGGATCTGAAGTCACGGGAAAGACAGCGGGGCACAGGGCGCAAGGTGCGCAGGGCCCATGACAGCAGCCGGCTGAGGAAGAGACGAGGCGCCAGAGTCTGGGCCTGGCTGAAAGCAGAGCAGAGGTGAAAGGGCAACATGCAGAGGATACTTGAGTCCCATTTGATTGCGTTTTAGGCTATGACCAGACTTTCTCTTGATGGACCACATTTCCTCATTTTATACAAGTGCCCTGTAATTCCCTCGCTTGTTCCAGGTCTGTGTGGTTATCTTTTCAAAATGCAAACAGGGAAATGAGCTCTTGGGTGGGAGTCAGGAGACCTCAGCTCTACTCCCATGTTTGCCGCTAACAGCTTTCTGCAATAATTGAACTTGGGGGGGAGGGGGCTCCTTAATTTTTTAATCAGTGACATGAGAACTTTATCTCAATGACCCCAGGATCCTATAAGATTAGATATTTTATAATTAGACATTTGTAATTCCAGGTCACCTTTGAGCTTCTGCAGACAGACATGCACAGTAGTTCTGCGTGGTCTCCTTCTCATCCCCGCTGGTGGACACAGCCAAGTGGCTACCAGAGCTGGTGCACAGCCAAGATTTCTAGAACTCAGAGGCCCACCAAGGCGGGGGCAGTAGTAGCAAGATCTCTGGGTGCTGGCAATAAGGGAATGTTGTGTGTCGAGAAGGGAGAACAGTAGTAAAACAGATTGAAAGTAGGTCAGCTTGTTATTAGCACCATCTGTCTAATTCTCAGGAATGTTGGTGATAAAATACTCCTCCAATAGCAAAAGTGCCCTGTTAACTAAGTTCTAAGCCATTGCTACATTTACCATTAGGTTATAATGACTCACCTGTAAGCTCCTACTTGTTCCTTACCCAGCCTTTATCTCCATGGGTGCTGTCAGCTACAGACACCAAAGGCGCCACTCTACATGCTAATTTAGGAGAAAGTCTGCAATGGTTTGAAATCTAAATGTGCTTGGAGTGCAATTTTTGTCTCCACTCAAGATTGCATATCCCTGAATTAAAACAGTAGATTTAAAATAAACAAGGAACACTGAGATGGCAAAGACCAGAATCAGACCTCAAATAACTTTGGTCCTGCCTTCTGTGTGACCTGCTGGAGACTGTAAAAGAGTGTGAACGACAAGGAAACGTATTTGTGTTTGGCAAATGAGCATTTTAATTCATACATGAAATATTTTGTTGAATTTAATTAGCATCTTTGAGGCTGAATTAATTCCTTTTCAGTTACTCGTTGATGTATTTTTTTAAATTTATTTTCTTACATCGTTGTTACTATTTGATTTTTCCCCTCAAATGTTGTCCATGTAGCTCTCCCGCCACCACAGCTCCCACGACCCATCACCATAGTCCCTTGTTCTCTTCTGTCCCCTGTTCCGTCCCTCTCCCTCCTGTCCCCCTGCTCTATGCCTCAGATCTGTGGTCTGCTTGCGAGTTTTGTCTCTTTCCTAACCCTTTGTTCAGTTTCTCTATAGCCACATGTAAGTGAAACCATCTGATATTTATCTTTTCCTTCTGACTTATTTTGCCTAGCATAATCCCAGCTCCATCCATGTTGCTGCAAATGGCATGAGTTTATCTTTTTTGATTGCTGAGTTACTTGTTATTTTAAAACTAAAAAGTGAACAGGAAAATCACAAGTCCTTACATACCCATGCTCCGAAACATGGACTCCTGGGCCACTCAGTGTCCTGGCATGATCAGTAGTAGTGTATTTGCTTTTTAAAGATTTATTTATGCATACAAGAACTGGGGTACAGGGCCTCCCCAGTGGCTCAGCGGGTTGAGCACAGTGTTATGAAGCTGTCCACAGCCTCTGCAATGTAGGTTCAATTCCCAGCCAGCCAGGGAGAACCCCACATGGCATGGCAGACCTCTCCTGTAGCGCCCACTGCTCCCCTCAGCAGTGTATTTCAGTCGTCTGCCTGTTCTGCTCCCTGCTCTGTCTCTGGTGAATCCTCTCACCCTCCCATGCCTCTGCCCTGTACCCCAGTTCTTGTATAAAAATAAATAAATCCTTTAAAAAAGAACTGGGGTACAGGCCAGAGGTGTGGGGGGTGAGAGGGTTCTCCAGTGACAGAGTGGGGAGCAGAACAGGCGGATCTACTGAAACACACTGCTGAGGGGAGCAGTGGGTGAGACAGGAGAGGTCTGCTGAGCCATGTGGGTTGCTCACTGGCTGGGTTCAAACTCGTGCTGCAGTGGCTGTGGATAGCTTCATAAGTTGTGTTTTAACCCCTTGTGCCACCAAGGAGGCCCTGCTTTTTAAATTTTCTCTAGTTTTGGTTTAAGGGAGAGGGCTGACAGTAACTGCTTATTCTAGCAACTTGATGAGGTTATGATAATCATGATTACTACCAAAAATAATTTTGACAAATGAAAGGAGAGGTATTTAAAAAATTACCAGTTTTAGGTGTTAAATCATAGGTGTATGAGATTACAATATCCCACTGCTATCTCCTGTCCTCTGCCCTAGTTACTGGCCAACAACTTCCCAAGAACAAGCGTCCGAAGGAGCCAGGAGAAAATAGAATCAAGCCTACTAACAAGAAGGTGAAACCCAAAATTCCTAAAATAAAGGACAGGGACTCAGCTGATTCAATACCGAAGACACAGTCCATAATGATGCAAATGACAGATAAAGGTCGGTTCCAGAAACCTGCTGCTACCCTGAACCTCATGGCAGGACAAACACTTGATCTTCGATGCAAAGGGAATCAGGTTAGATGGAGCTACCCTGCCTATCTAGACACCTTTAAGGACTCCCGCCTCAGGTAAGCAATATAGTTTTAACTTCTTTTGGGTCAAGGATTTGGTTTTGTTCTCTCATTAAATATTGCTCCTCTGACATCAATCATTCTTATAGCTCAATGAAAGCTCAGTGAACAAAAGTCATATGTTTTATTTCTTCACCAGCTTAAAAAGTCATTAAAAATCCTATGAACATTGATTAAAAGAGTGAATTTTATAGGCAGTCATGACAAATCATTGAAACTGTGATGAATCAAGATAGACATTTAAGAATTCATATTGTAAAAAATAATAGATCCAATACCCTCTGTAATTTCTAAGTAATCAAAATAAAAAGTGAAATGACAGGAAATTCCTATGAGTAACTTGACCAGAGACCAACTTAACTTGTTTTTGAAATTTTCATCTGCTCCTCATTATTTTTAGTTTCCCGAGTATTAGATTTTTATATTCAAAGATATCAGTTAGTATGAAAGTGAAGGATTTCTCATGTTATAAAGAGCACCTTCAGGTACTCTTGCTCAAATCAAGTGGGTAAGATGATGATGATGATGAAAACTGAAATGCATGAAAACAAAATATACTTCAAGGAGGGGGGTCTTGGGGTTAAAGGACATAAGTCCTTTGTATTTTGGGCAAATTCCCCTTAACACCAGCAGGTCTCAGTGTCATATGTAGAATGAATGAGGATTAGACTACAGGATTTCTATGAATCTTTCAAGCTTTCATCGTATGATTTAAGATAGAGAAAGACAGGATATTGTCTATTTGAGATGTCTAGAATGGGAGAAAGAATATGAATCTTGAATACCTCAAATCCTGCCTCTTCATATGTGGGGGCACAAAAGAAATCTCCCCAATCCCTCTGGGTTCTTTAGGCTGATAACCAAGCCATCTGACAGACTGATAAGAGAAAAAGCCAAAAGCCCTTGGTATATATGGGAGAGACCCAGTATGACAAACTCCATCATGTGGCTTAAATAGTTTAGGCAAGTCAAGAGATGCCAGGGGTCGGGGGTGAAAGAGGGGCAGTGGAGTGGGTAAAATGGAAGATCAGTTAGGGAGGTTATTGAGAAAGCACAGTAGACAAAACTATGCAGATTTAAACTATCTTCGCTAACAAAAAGAGGTAAAGATATTAGGCTTTCTTGGAAAACTCCCTCACAGAGAGATGTGTGTTTACATATAAACACCAAGACCAACCTCTACCCAGGTTTCAGCGCCCCTCCTATGAAATTAGCCCTTTGCCAAAAGACATATTTTGTGGTGTAAAATATGCACATAACAGATCCATATTTCCACACAAATGCCACTTCCCCTGAGTTCCAGCTCCTCAAGGACCATCATCCACTTCGTTGCTCAGTCAGAAAACCTGGAAGCATCCTACCTCCTCCCTCTTCCTCACTCCCTCACTCCCACATCCAATCAATTGCCAAGTTCAGTCAGTTCAGCCATGAACCTGCCTGCTTTCCATCTCTGATGTGTTGGCCCAGTCACTGTTAGCCCTTATTAATGTTAATCCTGCAGGAAGCAACCCAGGTTTGTCCTCGTCCATCTTCCTCACTGCAGCTGGGGTGATTATGGGAAGTGCAGAGCGGGTCATGTCACTCCCTGCTTAACACTCAGGGGGTTTCCTCTGGACATAAAGTCCAACATCCCAATGTTCACTGAAATAAAATTCTCAGTAATAGACAAAGTGCTTATTAGATAGTCAAAGTCAAGAACTGAGTCTAGGAAGAAGTCTGCGGTTCCACAGGTGGTGCTTTGGGAGAACTGTTCCCCCAAATCACAAGTTTGAGGTTAGTTTACATAGATGGGAATAGTGAGTTATTCACATCAAAAACTAATTGTGTTCTTGGAAGGGGGTGTTTCTGGTTTTTTAATAGACTTAGGTTTTTCAGTTTCCCACTTTGTCTTGACTTGGAGATGCACTGATGCTGGCTGCACGGATGGGAGGGCCGGGCTGGGAGTGAATCCCTTTCCTGATTGGCACTGTGGGCATGTGAGGCTGGTACCCATTTGTGTATATCTTCTTTCTCTGCCTCTGTGGTCTTTTGTGGGGGTTGAAAGACTGGTTTACACACAGGCAGCAGATTTAAAAAAAAAACATTTTCTCAATTGTTTAAATGTCTGTATAACTTTGAGGTTACATTTTTACTTCTCCATATATACAAACTTTACTTACCTCCCACCAAACCTCCCTACTAATATCTGTCCCATTCTTTTCCCTGTCTCCTCCCTCCCAGCGTTCCCTCTCATAACTAGTATATTTTTCACTAAGTCTAAGATTTGCTTTATTTTTGTTCTTCTTTCCCAGTATACATTTTTTTATAATTTACTTTCAACAGATGAGTGAAAACATCTATCACTATTTTACTTAGCATAATCACTTTAAGGTCCATCCATTTTGTACCAAAAGGCACTATTTCATTTTTGTTGTTTTTTTTTTTAAGATTTATTTATTTATGCATATAAGAATGGGGGTACAGGTCAGAGGTGTGGGGGGTGAGAGGATTCACCAGAGACAGAGTGGGGAACAGAACAGGCAGATTGACCGAAATACACTGCTGAGGGGAGCAGCGGGCGAGTCAGGAGAGGTCTGCTGTGCCATGTGGGTAGCTCCCTGGCTGGGAATCGAACTCGTGCTGCAGAGTCTGTGGTTAGCTTCATAGGTTGTGTCTTAACCCCTTGTGCCACCAGGGAGACCCCACTATTTCATTTTTGAGTAGTAGTCCATTGAGTATATATTTCAGTTTCTTTATCTTGTCATTGGACACTTAGGTGGATTCCAGGACTTGGCAATCGTGGACAGTGCTGCTGTGAAATGAGGTCTTTTCGTGTTAGTGTTTTCATATTCTTTGAGTAAATATCTAATAGAGCAATTGCTGGATCATATGGGATTTTCATTTTTACTTTTAAAGGTTTCTTCATACTGTCTTCCACAGAGGCTGTGCCAAATTGTATTTCCCTCAGCAGAGGATAAGTGTTCCTTTTTCTCCACAACCTCACTGACTTTTGTTGTCTCCATTCTTTTAGATATAAATCATCCTTACTGGGGTGAGGCACTATCTTGTGATTTTGATTTGCATTTCTGTGTAGTAAGCGATGCTGAATATTTTTTCATGTGCCTGACTGTCTCCTTTAGAAAAATGTCTAAGTCTTTTGCCTTTTTGGATTGGGTTGTCTGTTGTTGGATGCCATGTTGTGTAAATACTATATATATTTTGGAAATTAACCTCTTCTCAGACATATGATGTGCAAATATCTTCTCCCAGTCTGTGGGTTGCCTTTCTTGTTTTTGTGAGATTCTTTTGAGGCAAAAATCTTATTACTTTGATATAGTCCCAATTGTTTATTTTTGCTTTTCTTTCCCTTGCCATTGGGGTTGCATCCTGAAATATATTCAATATCTTTACAGTTGATTTTCTGTAGTGTACCCCTTGTGCTTTCTTTTAAGTACTTTATGGCCTCAGTTCTTACATCCAATTCTTTATTTGAACTAATTTTTGTGTCTGGAGTTAAGTAAGGATTTAATTTCAGTTTTTTGCTTGAGACTATCCATGTTTCCCAACACCATTTTTTTTTTAAATTAGGATTTTTTTTAATATTTGCATAGAAGAACTGGGGTGTAGGCCACAAGTATGCGGGGGTGAGAGGATTCATGAGAGACAGAGTGGGGAGCAGAACAAAGAGATTAACTGAAATACACTGCTAAGGGAAGCAGCGGGTGAGAGAGGAGAGGTCTGTTGCGCCATGTGGGTCAGCTCCCTGGCTGGGGATCGAACTCAGGTCATAATCATGATAGAGCTGAGACTTAACCTCTAGGCCACCAGGGAGGCTCAACCAATACCGTTAAAGAGGTGTCCCTTCCTCCATTTTATGGACATGGCTCCTTTGTCAGAGAGTAACTGTCCATACATGTATAGCTTAATTTCTGGGCTTCCTTTTCTATTCCATTGATCTTGGTTATATTTTTGTCTCAATACCACATTTTTGGGTCTTTCTTTTAAAAAATGTTTTCATAAGCATGCATCATAGATCCATCAAAAAATTGTTTTCTTTATAAAAACACAAGCTGTAACTATCCTTTTTCTTCTGTTATCAACACAATTAAATTCACCTCAATATTTTATTGTATTTTGTCTAAATTACTGCTACTGCTGCTTGACATCTTTGTGTACAGTCTGAACTATAGTGACCAGTGCTCAGATATTAAGCACCTATAGGTTATGAAGGTTGTTGCAGATCCTCAACCATCTGTTCAGATTGACCTTTGTCCATGACCCTTTATTTTCTTATGTTGTTCATTTTTATACAGTATTTGATTTCTCCCCTCAAGTGTAGTACCCATAGTTCTCTCACCACCATAACCCCATGACCACACCATAGTCCCCCATGCTCTTAGCTCCCATTTTGACTCCATCTTCCCTTGTGTCTTCCTTGCCCCTTTCTTGCCCTCCTCTCTCTTAACCTCAGAGCCCTCGGGATGTTTGTTGATTTCTAGTAGTTTTTGAAAGTATTTTGCATTGAATTGTCTGCAATACTGCTTTGATCATTATTGCTGTGTAGTTTAGTTGGAAGTCAGGGCATATGATACCTCTGTTTTCTTTTCTCTCAGGATTGCTTTGGCTATGCAGAACCTTTTGTAATGCCATACAAATTTTATAATTTTTTTCCTATTTTCTCAAAGAAAGTCATTGGGATTTGGATAGTGATTGTATTGAATGTGTAAATTGCTTTATGTAATATGACCATTTTAATGATGTTTAATCTTCTAATCCATGAATACAGGGTATCTTTCCATTTCTTCATGTCTTTTATTTCCTTTAGCAGAATTGTATAGTTTTTACCATATTTGTTAAATTTAACCCCAGATATTTCATTCCTTTTGGTATGCTTGTAAATGGGATTTTTTAAAAAAATTCTCTTCTAATTTATTGTTTGCATATATGCAACTGATTTTTGTGTATTTGTATCTTGCCATTTTATTCATGTCATCTTTAAATACTGTTAGTATTAGGAT